AATAACCAACTGCAAGCTTTTAAAATAGTTTAGTTTGAGGACAGCTCACAAAAACCACCCAACTCTAAGATTGAGCAGGATCCAGTTGGGAGTAGTATCCTACACTAGTAGTATCCTACAGTATCCTAGAGTTGGGAGTAGTATCCTACACTAATAGTATCCTACAGTATCCTACAGTTGAGAGTAGTATCCTACATGAGGTTCTGATATTCGTACAATGCATCAGGTACAAAGGGATAGGACCTCAGTAAGATGACCGTTGCCACAGCAATCGTGGTCGCATCTGCTTGTATTTGTAACCACAAAGGAGGCCTAACTTTCGATAGTTGAACAATACAGTGACCATCAAGCGGGCTCCGGCCGTGTACAATACTTCAGACATTTCCCTATTGTTTGTGGTTATATTGTTGAGATTTGCCCGCTGTTTACTGTCAGGTCCCCGAATTACCTATAATAATACTAACTAAGTATTACTTAGTACCTAACCCCCTTCTTCTCTTTCACAATACCACATAGAACTTTCGCAACTATTCTCCGAGCTGAGCCGAGAGAGCGATCAACAATACAATACACTAATAAAGTCCTTAGCTAACACTTTCTAATTCTACCGTAGCTTAATATAATTGCCCAGTTTACACGTTTAATATTCTATTGTACGGTCATCATCAAAAGAGGCTGTTTGGTCACTTCACTAGCTAAAGTTAGTTTTCCAGTTTTCGTGTTGTTTAATAAGTTGGTCTCATGGGTCCGTGTACGTTACACACACCAGATTACGGGAAACGTTATCGTGGTCGCGTCCGCTTTTTTTCTAATTTGAGAGCTCGCTTTAATTCCAGATTTTACTTGTCGGGTGGTCAGTTGATTTGGATTATTGTCTAGAGTTCCAACGTTTGAAAGGAGGCCTTCCTGGGACCTAAAAAGTATTAAAACTTCTGTACCTGGACCCTAAAAAGCAGAGGCGCCAGACAAAGGAGGCACAAGTTAAAATGAACGCCACTTCGCACAGAATAGAACTGTCGAATCCACCTAACTGGCAATCCCTTTGAATCAAATATTAAATTAAGGGCATGTTACCGAACTTGCTGATAAGAAACCATTAAAATTTTCACTCCTATTGTCGCTGATTAGTCTCCGGGACGTATATTAATCATATTTGTATTTGGGCCTTAACACGGCTTTGTTCCGCACCATAATTCCCTAGATAAATATTTTGCGGCAATCGGGGTAGAGTAGAAAATTGTTCTCACCTACTCAACCAAGACACCTTTGAACTTTGGTTCACAGTACGACAGAAAGAGCGAGCGCGTCAGCTCGATAGCCACAAGTCATATTTTTATGATAAGTTAAAGCTGTTAGCGCGACTTTAGGACAAAAGAAAATACCGCTTAAAGCGTTTAATCAAATTTCTCAGCTCTCCGGAGCTTTGATCTTGTTTTGAGGCTGTAACGTTTAGTATTGGTCGATAGAAACGACTGTTCTTCACTCGCGAGTCCACCACTTGCTGTCATTTTCCACTAAACTGTACATTAAGTAGCCTCCACCAAATTGTCCGAGTTGTAGCTGAGTGGTCGTCGCCGGCGCAATCTGGAGCAACGAGCGGTTTTCCTATGTTTTCTGTGTCTCCGGCCTGTCAGTTTAACGCTGTGTAACGGGGACTGGAAACTTTACTTTCAGTTCAGTTTGTGTTAGGCATTTCTCGGGGTTTAGCGCACGAGTCTCGACTATTTCCCTCAGATCGAACTGTTTGTACACCCTCTATTTTCGGCGCTGTTCTAGCAATCAGCCTGTATCCGATTTGTTGTTGTTTGATTCCACAACAGTGCCGTGGATTATAACAATACTGGCGATGTTGTTCGCCAGCATGGTGCATGGTGCAACCCTTTCTTAACACAGGCCCATCTTGTTTTTTTGCGCGCACGACTTAATCATATTGTCAATCATGTTTTGCAAAGCCTATCTAATTTCACACCCACGTAGATTAAATTTGCATAAGATTGAAGTTAGAGTGCCACAAATAGTCGTAGCAGCTGCTCTGTATTGTGAGCAGATTAATGCCAATTTGGCGAACAAAGGATAATGCCCCTACTTGTTTTATCACGAGTAGGGGTGCAGGGGCCTCATAATGACAATAGTTTGCCAACCGTTAATGTTAAACGGATCTAGGTAACTACCCGGTGAGCAGAGTCCAGCATCTCTCTCTCACTCACTCACTCTCTCTCTCTCTCTCTCCCTCCCCCGAAGGACACAATATGTGTGGTGTATTGTCGGGCCCTTTGTGCCTACTGTTAATAGCTAAAGACCTCGTCACTGCCCGGGTCGCACTGAGGATCTCCACTTCAGAGCGGGGTGCCTTCCCACCACTTGTTGCACTTATTTTAACCTCACCCCATGTTTCCACTTTTTCTCATCGGTTTTGGAGGCGGAACCGGTGGAAAGTGTGCACATGTTGCCTCCCTGTGAATTAGGTGAGTGGGGGAACAGTTATCCGAATGCTATTATTCAATTATTAAACAAGGCTATTGAACTAAAACTCAGCTAATGGCAAGGAGGAACGAGTATCAGGTTGCATATAAATTGTAATCATCAAACGGTGAATGGTATTCAATGCGGCGCGGTCTGCATTGTTTAAAAGACAAAAGGACAAAAAGTGGTATATTGTATGATTGGCCACCTGACTACCAGCGTCTTTATGGCTCTAATAGACACCGACAAAAACAATATTGCTAAGAGTTTTTCATGAGTTTCGCGGCCCCCACCTCTCGTCCGCGGGGGTGAAGCATTAAATCACGAGTAGTATTATTGTGCAATGTGTGGCAGTCTGCCTGTGTTCTGGCTTGCTAGCTGCAGGTCGGTTCAACAGCATTTCCCGCTCGTAACATAGAACTGCCCATCAGTTATATGTTTCATTGTATTTGTTACATTGAGCTGCATTGTTGCCTGATCTTTGTAATGCCATCATTTGTTTTGTTTCCTCTGCAATCATTAGACTGTAATAACAAAGGCGTTCAATCCGAAACAATTGCAATTTAGTGACCAAATTGTCATTGTATGGAGCGCGCTGTTGATCCTGCCTGTACCTTATGCGATGTATATAAATGTTGCAGGGTTAGTTTCTTGAGCCGGAGAGGACTTGTTTAGAGACCCTTACAACCCTCCAAGGGACAGGCAGGCGGCACCGTTCTTTTGTTTCTATTGTGCACTCTCGTGGAATGTACTATTGTGGAAGAGTATCCAGTTAATAACTCGGATAATAAATAACTAACGTACCACGGTCATAATCTTTGATGGTCTTTGTTGTTGCCACGGCGCAAAGCTTTCATGTTGTCTTGAGCAGAGGTACAAGATAGGCTGCTTACCGCCCATTATTAGGCCAATCTCCGTTCCTTTAGTGAGCTCTGCTACGCGTTGTCTTAACGATTTTGATTCCCCATGAGTTTTTATTTCTGAAGTTTCTGAAGCTGATTCTAATATATATTTATATATAACATACTGATTGACAAATTACTGCTCAACCACCTGCAGTCTCACATTAAATGAGCATTTTTACTCCTATAGAGCTAGTCAACCAGTTGAACAGCATCTTTGGTTTGATCAGTAAAGTAGTGAAGGCTAAGCTAATTTAGCGGGAGCATTGTATCGTGAATTTCTTAATCTAGCTGAGGGGAAGGTTTAGTTTAGTGATTAAGGGGTTAATTTTGGTTTATCTCGCGTAGTTCAACTTGAAGATCCCAGCACTTGGTTCAGCATGATGCTCAAATGTAACGTACCGTTGTTATAATTGTTGAAATGCCCATTCTTAGAAGGATGCTTGCGTGAGCATTCTGTACTACAAATTTAGTATATTTCTGTGATTTTTATTCACGCTTCTTGCTCACCTCACAGGTATATATTTACTGGACTTCATAAAAACATAAAGTTCCTGACTTCTGACAAAGGCAGGTATATTTCCACACACCAGCAGTTTAAGTTCCAACATCTAATCCCGCGTTACGTTACCAATTACCACTAGCAGGGCGGGCCAGGTCGTCTTAAGGGTCTGAGCAGTCCATTACAGACAATGAAAATCCTTTCATTACGTCTCTAGCAGCCGACAAAGCTATTCTACACCGGGAGACTGATCTTTGTCACGTCTTTCAATTTTCTCAGAGTGTACATGAGCCAAGCGCCTCTATCAAAACACTTTGCTTCTATCATCACCAATAAAAGTAATGGGTCATCAAAGGACCTCCTTCTCGACATTAGAAGGTGTCAGTACTTTCAGTTCTTTCAGGAATGAGGTTCAGCACTTATCTGCACTTGTTACAGGGAATCCTTCCAACGACCGTTCATAACCGATAAAAAACTTTAACGACTTGGTGTAGAGGGGGGAATTGACACAAAATGGGTTGTTTAACGTAGCTCGATATCTTTGATACTATGAGTTATGCTGTCCGTCATCACTCCGCTACTGATTCCATGCTAATTTGTTCAAATTATTGGATAAAACCTGATAAGATGAGGTCTAATTTTCACAATGTGTCATGTTTCTTTCGAACAGTGCCTCCTCCTTCCCCGAAGGAAACACTTCGTTTATTCAATTAACCCTCTTATCAAATTAGTAGCACCCATATTCCAGCCACATTATCAGTTACTGTTGTTAAAATCAATACTAATTTTCAAACACCTTATCTTATAAAAATTTAAGAAGATGCACGCAACGCGTTAATGAAAATTACAGTATCGATTTTGAGAAAGTCATCTCTTCTTCCCTTGCCGTAAAATCATAAAAATGCTTCACCTTTTTTGTGAACATTATGGCACTACGTAATGCCCAACTTTATCTAGAACGTTATAATACTAATTGTTAGTTAGATGTTTGTTCGTCGTTTTCACGTTCAAAAGCTGTTGACACTTGCCACAGCCTCACAGTTCACCGTTGTTATAATACAATTGTATATAACCCTAGTGTTAAGTGCACGATATTATTATTACGATTTTAACACCAACCTGTCTTATTCTAGCCGAAGTCAGCATTGCGGAACAACAAAGATCGCCCTTTGGAAACATGATCATCGACGATAAATCAGGTTTGAAGTTTGCTTAGTCAGGAATTTTATAGCATTTTCCCGGTTTGCTCCCTTTCTGTGCCTTGTGTTGGAGATTTTACCGATTTTTATCTTTTTTATTTCGTTTGATCCGCTGAATGTCATTGTCGTGCTCGTTATCATTCGCTCATTGTTATCGAAAAATCCACACCCTCTCGGCATTTTTCTCACAGAAAAGAATAAAAACAACCCAAATTTTCTAAAGCTCCCCGTTTCTCGGAACCCACATCTCGAGAATATCTAACCCAGGCATAAAAATATACAATTAATGTGTACAAAGTTTAAACAACCGCACCATATGTCGGTAATATATAATAATATGGACAATGTCGGTGTACATTTTACACGGGGCGCGCTTCAGAACAATACAGTCTCTGTACTAACTCACTAACTTTAAGTAATCTAAACCACGGCAAGGGGCTACTTCTAAACAGACAATACGCTCCTCACCCTTCCATGAGGCCTACAAAGAACTTGCCACAAGTACACATTTCTCCGTTTCTCCGTCCCCCAGAGAGCACAGGTCACATGAAATTTTGGCGACTGATTAAGCATCTTTTGTGTGCTACCATCTTCCCCCATACTCCAATGTGTACTCGATATAGTCAGATAATCAAGTGAGCTATATATATATAATCTATTAAACATTTTGGCAACTCACAACAGGTTTCAATGTTGTGGAAATATTAAGCCGAGAAAAATCCATTAGTCCACCTTTAGACGGCCTTGAGGGTGAATCTCATGGGTTATTAGTGCACGGTTAAAATAGACACTCATTAAGCTATTCCTTTTGTATTATTTGGTGTTCAAAGTGTTCTCCTAATAAACAGTTGAGTAATAATGAGTCTAATTGGGGATTGTCCCCCGGCCCCCCAGAGAGAGAGAGAGAGAGAGAGAGAGAGAGAGAGAGAGCGGTCTATACCCATGAAACAAACCCCAACAGAAAGATTATTTAAATTAGTTTTAATTGTAGAGTGAGTGCCAAGGTGGGACCGCGCAAGGGAGCCGACTTCTTTGAGCTATATCATTTGAGCTGTATATGCTAGCAGTGAATATGTTTGATTAATAATATAACCAAAGCCAATGAGCTGAAAGTTCATAACTTTATTCCCCGGTCCATGTCCATGAGCCGGCTGACAACCTGTGCAGTGATACGACTTTCACAAAATCACAGCATTGTCAGGACATCTTTTCAAAATGCCGCCTTTCTTTTCTTTCATTAAAAGCTCTTTGCTAGAAAGGTGGGACTTAGTGCCTAAGTTAATTTACACCATTCATTTTACGTGGTGCAAAACAAAGGCGGACATTTAATTGGAGGTGTAGTTGGGAGAGGGGGACACAGCGTAGCTCACACGTCGTGTAAAAATGGAACATTTTGTAACCCAACAAAAGGAAAACGCTAAATCTTCGCTCCCTCTCCGAAGTGATAATGATATTACAAAAGTGCCAACTTTTTTTGTATATTGTTCGGTCAAGTGCTCGAGGGGTGGTGATATGTATTGAAAACCGGTACCTAATGTGCCGCTTCGTTATAAGAGACACATTCACTTACAATTTGCATCCACGTCTCTCTAATTGTGGTGCAGTAAAGAATCACAGTTGTGACCTCGGAAATTGGATAATTCTCGTCACTTTCCCGTTGTGATTATCGTGTATTAACAGTACAAATCTTATTAGAGAGAACTCTTTCACAATGGTAAAAGAATTGACACCTTGGCTGGAATAATAACAAATGACTATGCAAATTTTGCTCAATTTAATTGTCCATGAAATTTAAAAATTGTCACATTGTCCTGACAGTTGGAGTGTGTTAATGGACAATTTTCCTAGGCGTTACCTCAAATGGGCATGAAATAATTTCTTCATATTGCTCGTAACATATTAAGTGGGTCAAATTTCGAGATACTTAATTCATTTTGGGGACAAAAATTGCAACAAAAGACAATCGGGGCTAATCTTATTCCGCTGCTGTGGAGTTCTTTTCGATAACAATGAGCCTTAAATCAACGCTTTATTCTCTTATTGAATAAGAGGGGCGGAAATGATAAGGGCACGACGATAATGAATAAATTATGGAGATCATCGCTAAATATTGTAAGGCTAAACATTGTTACAAGTTTTAATCAACCAATATCCAGCTTAGTACCACTGGCTGTTAGTCTATCGGTTCAGCTTAGTACCACTGGTTGTTAGTCTATCGGTTCAGCTTAGTACCAATGGTTGTTAGTCTAGATGTTAGTCTAGTTTTTAGTCTAGAGGTTCATGTATTCTCACACAGGAACACTCCCAGAGATCCAGCGATCGTATCATGTTAAGAGACCTATGAACGCGTTCATGGTGTGGTCCCAGATCGAGCGGAAGAAGCTGGCAGACCAGCATCCAGACCTTCACAACAGGTCAGTGGTTTACTGTTAACTAGAACCTTACTTTAGATGCCACTTATTGTGTCATATGACAGGTTAATTTGGTTTAGAGTAAAGATTGAAATATTAGATTGACCCTTCAAAAATGTGTCTCATTTTTTATTTAGATATCATATTTGGGGGCGTCTCAGTGGATTTTGTTTCAGTTTTATCTTACATTGGATGTTTCCACAATATACCAAAGCATTGTTGTCTAAATTTCACCCTTTCACACACGGGCCGGTTTCACTTAGTTATATCTAATGGTGCACATCCCCTCGTGGACACTGGACACATCCCCTAGTCCCCCACACGCGCCACACCACTTCCCGGAAACAGCCCCCTCTTACTCAGTCAGTAGGGGCCCGATGTACCGTTTATCCCCTTTAGAATCAGCTAACTCTATTGACAAAAGGAACTATTTAGCCGTAACAATGGCACATTAACGACTTCGCAAACCGGACATATATACTAGGACCCGCCAACATTAACTCCATCATTTTGCCATTTCTGGGCTTCTAACGGATCTAATGGAGGGCATAACTCCAATAAATATCACAGTAAAAGCTATTTAATGATAACATCTCAAGCATGCATTCAAAAATACTGCAGAAAGATTTTGTTTTTGTAGGCATACAATGGAAATGGTAATGAGGAGGGTTTCTATCATTTAAGGTATTTGTTGCTCAGGAGACACATTACTACGAGAATACAAAAACATTTAAAAGGTTCTGTAAATTTTAATGGGCCATATGAATATCTCAAATATTTTGCTTCTCTTAGTCACTCAAGCATACAATCTCACAATTCTTCAAACCACTAAAAGTGAAAGCGAAAGATATAAATGGTATGGACAGAAGTCAAATATTTTCACAATTTAATGATGATGTTTTCAGTGAGCTGAGTAAAATGTTGGGTCACCTCTGGAGACTGCTAACTGAGGATGAAAAACGACCGTTCGTAGAGAAAGCAGAGAGACTCCGAGCTAGACACATGGAGGAACATCCAGGTAAAACTCAATCAATTACTGAACATTCTGTAGATCAATCAAACAGATCACAATAAATTATAGACTTGCCTAAAATTCCAACTTTTTAAGCAATACTCTACTCTGGTAAGTAAACTTGTGACCTCTCTTTCTCCCTTAAAATGTATGTATGCTTCATTGTCCACAATCTCTAAAGTAACTCATTCTCAGGGTATAAGTACCGGCCCCGAAGACGTCAGCAGATTAAGCACTACGAATCTAGACCCTCCCTCAACCTGTGCCCTCCCGGTCTATTCTCCAACCTGGCGGCCATGAGAAAACAGGGCCACCTCTCAAATCCACTGGATATTCTAACCAACTCCTACGCTGCCTACTCCAACGCTCTAAGCCAGGTACTGGTCCACAGGATGGCTCTTAAGATAAATACATTTGTCCTCGGAGCAGAACATTGCTGCCGGTTAGACGGGGTGCCAGTCGAGCTATTCACAATACTATAAAGTACTATTTGGCACAGACTTTAGTCTCCACTGGCCTTTGAACCATTGTTCATTGTAATTCTCCACAAAATTAAAACAATTTGTTAGCTAATTTGGTGAAATTATCTATTCAAGGAGGCTCCTTCTATCAAAGATTCGGACCAAAGGATATGCCATGGGATTGTGATATAATTAGCTTTAATCATGTATGGGTGATTTTTTGTAGTGTTATAATGACACCAACGTCTGGCCAAGTTAGTGTAAATGTTCCACGAATTGTACAGTAAGCTTCAGAACTAGCGGCCCTGCTTTTACCACTTTTATCTTTATAAAGCCCCAGATGAAATAATAATAAAGGGGTAAGATTAATAAAACAATTACTATAGACGCCTTTTGCTGGATTGCGCCACCGTTACACAATCCCTTTGAAGCATCGCCAGAGTCATATGACCCTTTAGTAACCGAACGATTAGAAGCAACTTCAGAACGCTGATTCGAAAGCACAATTACCAACTCAAAATTGTGCCTGGAGCACTGTACAGTATTTTACCCACCAAGTACCGGTGTACAATTCTGATATTAACAAGCGCAATGTTTTCAGGGACTGACGGCCCAGCAACTCCAACAGTTGAACTCGCTAGAATCACTCCGAACCCCGCTGGTGATGCCGGTGGCACTGCGACCCTCCCCTGCCTCCCCGGTCTCCTCAACAGGAGTTAGCTCGATAACGACTACCACCACCCCCACCCACACCTCCACCTCCACCGGCCACTCATCCCCCTCCAACGTGTCCTCCACTTCTGACGAAACCTCTGCTCAGCTGGCCTCTCTCCAGCTAAAATACCAGCAAAACCTGGCTAACCAACTGTCCCAGTACCAGTTGGGTCAGCTCAGTCACCTGGCTTCAGGAAGTAACGGACTGAATGTGAACTGCAGGTGTCCCCCAACTCAACTAGCTTGCACGTGTGGTGCTTCCACCCTAAGCTTGACAGCTCTGTCATCTCAGCTCGAGGCTCAGAAGACTTTTGCCTCGCAACTGGAGCTGCAGAAGAGCCTCGTTTCACAGATGGAACTACAAAGAACATTTGCAAACCAGCTTGAATCACAGCAGAAAGCCCTGGCTGTCAGCCGGGCTAGCAGCTGCCAGACAGACGTCAAAACAGAGGCTCCTAAAACCTCCCTCCCTAGTCATCTCGACTTTTCCTCTCTAAGTTCAGCACTCGAGGTCCAAAAGGCCCTGACAGCCCAGCTGGAGGTCCAAAAAACTCTTGCTAATCAGTTGGAGGCCCAGAAGTCGCTAGCTTATCAGCTAGAGGCCCAAAAATTGTTAGCGTCTCACTTGGAGTCGTCCAAACGAGAGAACTCTAGCTCTTTATTCAATTGGAGATGAACAGTTTATTTAGTTAATTGATAATTTCAGTGCTGGATATAATGCTAATGAAGTAGTCATATTTATTGTTTAAAATTTTGGGGCAAAACTGTTGTGATAGATGAATAGAACCAAAGCTCCGGTAAATGGAAATAACAATGGTCCCGACAAGTTGAGTTCTGTTTAGCACATTCAATTAGCTCCTGGCGACAACGTTAAATTGTGCGTGCCCTATTGTTAAAACATTACCAAAATATTATGAAGTAGGCTTTATATAATAATAAAAGTCTGTGTTTTGTAGAGTTACCTCCATTTACGAGGTTTTGGGAAACAAAACCTCCATTTATATGAGGTTCAGGTGGGGTTCACAACTCTGTAAGGGCCAATATGTGGCCGGACTTGGTTTTTAACAAGATTGAGAGAAAAATTAGGAGAGTTTTGATATAAGAATTAAATTTACAGTATTGTTAATTGTTCGCTGATTTAAGAATGTAACCCAGAGAGCTATGATATCTAGATAATAAACTTTAAACCAAATTGTAGAAGATATAAGAAGAGAGTTTTGTTTTAATACAACAAATTAGAGAGAGCTTTAGGTTCACAGTTATTTATATTGCAACTAAAGTATTTTCGATAAGAATTAGCGTATTTATTTGTGGAGCAGTAGGCGTGGGCCTGAGAAAATGCTGTGCCTGTTATTGAATTTTTATCAGTTGGACTGCTAAGTGTGCACGTCATGATTGCATTCTGCAATTTGCATACCGTGATTATATTATTCAATTTGATGTTGTTTTGATGATTTCATTTTTATTTGTTAAAAGAATGATACAACTGTTTGATTTATTTGTAGGACCTTACATCACCCAATAAGAGATGATATCTTTTAGTAATTATCTCAACTCAGTGCACACTGCACTTTCGGTGTCCTGGACAGTACAAATTAACATTGTAACAACAAATATACATTAAATTAATATTGTAACCACTTGGAGCAATGTTTTCTTAACTTATACAATATGCTGTGTCTGCGTTTAAGTTGGACTCAGGTTACTAGATACAATTCCATGTGTTATATAGTTTACATTACCCCACATCACCACACTGTATTGCCCCACCACGCTGCACCAACACGCCACACTGTATTGCCCCACCACACTGTACCAACACACCACACTGTATTGCCCCACCACGCTGCACCAACACACCACAATGTATTGCCCCACCACACTGTATTGCCCCACCACGCTGCACCAACACACCACACTGTATTGCCCCACCACGCTGCACCAACACACCACACTGTATTGCCCCACCACAATGTATTGCCCCACCACACTGTATTGCCCGACCACACTGTATTGCCCCACCACTCTGCACCACACTGTATTGCCCCACCACGCTGCACCAACCCACCACAGATACAGTGAGGTAATCCAGCACTAACATTACCATCTACTCGCATAGCATTTTACCTGACATTACATAATCTGCCAGTAAGTACAACGGAACTACCTTATCAAACCGGTCCTTTGCACTTTGATCACATCAAAAACTATTCCTCACAAAGACAACCATTGATTCCTTTGATGAGAGCTATTGGTCTAGGACCGGCAGGCACCTTATCATAGGCCGCATCTCTCCACCACAGTTCCTCTAACTACAGCAGGTTACACAGCTGTAAGTTACCTCTATAGTGTGTTGGAACTGAAAGTAAAAGTGCTATGAATCTCATGTGAATTGCAAGCCGGTGGTATCAGTTTTGGTAACATCAGCTGATTGAGTGCATGTTGGGAATGTTACTGTTAGCAAGCACCCTGAACTGAGTTCGGTAAAGCGGCGCGACAAACAGTTTCACGAGCCGGGCAACTAGGACAGTTTAACAGCCGTGACGGCTGCGAACTGCCGGTTGTAAAGGTGTCTGAAATGTGGTGCCAGAGAAGTGCCACCGTCTACGAACATCGCCACCCGACATTTCGCACCTTGCCTCTGAGAGCGAGAGAGAGAGCGACAGCAGAAGTGTTTCCACTTGTTGACATTATAAAGTGAGAGGGGTGAGCCACGACTATGTTTACAGCTGCATGAGGGGTTGTTTTAAAGAACAGTGTTTAAAACAAGTGTAAACCTGCAACTATTGCTGTTTAATGAGGAACCTGGGAGAGTGAGCTCAGTGGAGTGTGTCGATACTGATCAGTTATTATTACCAGTCTGCAGACAGTTGCTACTGGGAAAATGGGATTGTAACAGGGATTGCAACAGCTGGAAGTAGGTGGAAAGTATTAAATGTTCAACATGTTCTGACGTAGTGGAATGGTGGGGAAGGTATTGTACAACTTCCTCAAAACGAATCAAGGGAAGTTTTAGACCAAGAGAAGTGTTACGCCCAAGTAATTCCCTATTGTTATGTAATTTTGACACATGTCAACATGGTTCATGAAAATAGTAGCCTTTTTAGCAGCATCACGACAAGGTGATCATAATATAGCACTACACAGTGTTGTTGCACTGGTGTAAAAGTTAAGTAAACAATTAATCGCTATAATTGCGATGTTTATTTATATGTTATTAATTGCTTTGTGAGAGTATGTTATTGCAGATAGTCAAATTCAAGTTTTGTCGTACGTTTGATTTGGTATTTTCTAATTTTCGCATTAAGATGATAATGACTAAAGCCATAGAATTGGGTACAATCTGAAACTGGAACTGGAATAGCACAAAAATAAGCACATTTCTAACCCTACACCTATAATAGGTTTATAAAAAGTTCTAATATGTTCTAATAAGTTCCGTAATAAAATAAATAATGTCTCCACACACACACACACACACACACATACACACACACTTATCTGTACAATGTAAGTTATTGATCGGATGTAACATGTTACATGTGCTTACAAGTGCCAAATTAGATAACTCCTAGACCAATACATCGGGAGTAATAACCGTAGCTAGCTGCTCAGTCTGCCCAGTCTGTTTAGCAGCTACAGTAACATATGTCTTGTTTTTCTAATAGTAAGTCAATGTCAGAATTGTCTGATATTATCTAGTTTTCTGAATTAAAACACCATGTGACGCTTGAGTGAGACACTAAATGCTAGATACTTCAGGACGCAGACTCGCTGTTATATGATCCCATGTGAAGGTGTACAAGTTCTGAAATAGATTTGATACCGTACAAACATTTTATAACTACATAGCTGCTTATTTTCATTAGTAGATCGAACCTGTTTTTGTGACATCTTACGCAGTCACCAGATCATTGACGTAAGATATTTAGTACTAGAAGTTGTAAGTTTTGACTACACACACGGAGGGATAAAGAGCCAGAGTTTGCGGCGACAATTCACATCAGCGATGATTTTTCTACTGACTCTCGTCATGTGAGTATACAACTATATATTGCTTCCAAATAATGTTACTAAATCCAGTGTACCAAAGTTTGGGCGTGTGTTTAATGTCACAGTATTAACACAAGCTGACCACTGTCTACCCATTGTTAGAGGTGCTGTAGTCGGGGAGGCGGCTAACCAGCCCACTGAGGGACCCAATTCTAACAGTAATAGTGCCTTCGGGATTTCTGTTGAGGAGCTAAGAGAACTGGTCACCAGACAACCTTTTGTTTCCTGTGAGTACAATTACATTGTCTGTTGTGAGTCTATTGCCTTGATTCAGAAACGGGCGCAATTAAATAAACTATTATAATATATACTCAGTACTCCGTGCCTCTCCGCCGCGCAATAACCAATATCCTAGACGTATAGACCAGAGACCCACTTCTAGTTATATATTGGGAGGAGCCTGAAAGGTGTGGTATAATTATAAATGGGATTGTGACGTCATAAATAGGTTCAATTCGGTTACGTCACTAATGGGCTAGAACGCAGTATTTAGGTACTATCGTGAGAACCAAAGTATAGGCGGAGTACTCCGACCTTGAACATGATAATCATCATATTCAGCAATAGTTAGAGTAAAAATCAGTACTGCAATATAGTGCATTTTCACTTTTCGACCACTTAGTCGGCTGAAACGGATGAAAATTCTCCGTTGATATGAAAGTGACCACCATATTAACAAATATTCTACAACATCATCTGAGAACCTCCTTCAGCCTGCCAGTACTCAATCCTGAAGACGATAAAGATGTACAACCACGCTCGTAACCAATGTCGGAATGTAGACACTAACACAGGGAGAATAGCTACTATCCGCTCCAATCAGGAGAATAACGCTGTACTCAACCTCTTCATCGCTACATACGGACACGGCATCGATGTGAGTTACTAAATCTAATTCCTTTAACAATCTCATTTATTTCAATGGAGCATGACACTGTCTTTAATTTCATGATAAAAACCATATTCACTACTATACTAAAGCCCAGGCGCTGCCCTATTACTACCGGGGAATTGAAATCTGATCACTTTGACCAATGTTAAGCAGATAGATCACCTGGCTGACTTATTACACTCTTACTGGACTCTTACTCCTTCACCAACAAAACCGTTTCAGAACACGTTCTTGAAGAGCAACCCTTCCAATTACTTGTGGTTAGGACTTACTCGAGATGACGAGTACAGTGATTGGAAGTGGGACAATTCTAACGAATCTGTTAACTATACAAACTGGAGACCAAACCATCCCCAGCCCATGAGTACATTCTATATTTAAATTTAATTTTAATTGAGATTTGGTTACTTATAGTTATTAATTACGGACTCTACGTCTAGACATAAATGCAGCTTTATGTGGTAGGACCATTGAAGGCAAAGGAAATTTTCACTCTTGAAAATAGCTTCATGAATTCGGATTTTTTAACAGCTGGTCTCTTAAGAAAACCTTATTCCTTATGTTTCAGAGGGTAACTACGTCCGCATGAACCGGCACGGCTACTGGGAGACCACTACAAATCTAATGTATCACCCAGCAGTCTGCGAGAGACCTGGTGAGCAAATGTCTAGCAACACACGTATTGTTAAATTAACACAGCTCGGTGTAGCTCGTAGCTCTAACAGTGTAACCACCACATTGTGTCTGGGTTGGGGGAGGCGGTGGGGAGAGTTGTTATAAGGCCGGTGCAGTGTAACTGCTGCTTAATGAATTAGAGGGAATGTAACTCATTGTAGTGAAGGTAACATTAATATATTGTTAGGATAGCTGTGTTAATATTTTAATAGGAGCGGTCAATCAACGGGGAGCTTGGACAATGGAGTTAACAGGCGTGCCATGAGGTACTAGAGCTTCAATCAATAATACTTATACATCAAGTACTTGAGTGGTATTGAGGCTTTGTTACAAGGCTAAGCTTGAGTATTGGAACTCAATAGCTGTTAGCTTTGTAGATCAAAGAGGATAATAGTCAAGTGGCAAGATAAACTCTAACTACAACGCTTGAACAGCATGAAAAACGTCAGCTTCGCTCGAGCGAATTAAATAAGGTTTTGGGGGTTTTGAAGAGATAAGTGGCGCCTATATATAATGATATTAAATTTACTATGCAATGCAAATGCAATTGCCTAAAAATAGTTCAACCGCTTAGACCCAGTTCAATTGGGTTATAACAACAGGGTAGACATCTAAAATATGCTAGATATTCTGTGGCTGGTTACAATTGGAAACTTACATATCTCGCCTAAATTTTAAACAATCAACTTGAATGTTTGGGAAACGGTTTTCAATTATCAAACCAAATGTGTCCAGAAAATTGTGCTTTCTTAGCTCAAAGCGCTTTCATATTATGACGACAATAGTGCAAAAATATGGATTGGTGTGCCACTGTTATCAATAAAACTTTATGAAACTTTTAGAAAATCTAAGTTTGATTCATACTATAATCTTATAATCTCAAAATTTTGTGTGCAATTCTGACACGAATTACGTTAGTTATTAAAGGGTTGCGTATGGGCAGTTACCTCTGGGCCACCATGTGCTATGCTATCATTCAATTTGGATATGATTGACTCACGTACCTGATCCCCGCAACATACGTTATATCTCAGCTAAGTACGTAGTCTACAAGAAAAGACTGTCCTACCCAGAAGCGAACACAGTGTGCGGAGCTATGAACATGGAGTTAGCCATGGTTAAGAGCGAAGAGGAAAATAACGACCTTGTTGCTGAGGCAAGTAGGACTCTGGGCTCTCCGTACCTTGATAGGAACTTCGAGAACATCAATCAGGTAACGGGGCGGAACTGTTTTATAATTTGGATTACAGAATATTTGTTCGTAGTTTTCCACAGTTAAAAGATAACTATTACTCTACTGTTCAGTAAAATGAAGTTAAATGCATGTTAAATATAAAAGTTTTTTCGCCTAAAAGTAGTTTCCCCTCTAAGGTTTGGATGGGAGGCTATGAAGGCGAGCCAGGCCAGTTTCTCTGGGAGGATGGGTCTACAGCTGATTATCAGAACTTTGAACCTTACTATGGACTGGAGTTCTCGGGAACAGGTGAACCTTTGCACTGTGTATCTTTCAGCTTTACTATCTATTTGCACAATAGTCCTCACATCTCTCAACAAAGATTTATTGTGTTGCCCTCGTTAGATGTGTGTTATATTTATAGAATTGTTCAATACATATTAAACAATAGCACAGACAACAGATTTAACGTTGAATCGCTTAATTGTCTTCTTTGGTCCAGCTACCCATGACCGGCGAATTGTTTGACTAAAGTTGCTAAGTCTCAAAAATATGATAAATTAACAATGAAGGTTTCACGGTCTATTGTGAACTATATACAATACAATATGATAAATGTTTATTGTTTATTGTTAATGTTACATCGATCATAGGCTGTGAAATACACATGACCGATTCAATCAAATGTCTGTTAATTATACTGTACTATACTCTATATATTATCATGATTATAGATCACCCTGAAAATAATTCTACTCTCGTTGTGATCTGATTTGAGACGGCTTAAAAACGAGTTCAACAATTATGCTACGGAAAATTAAAAAAAAAGATACAGTGAATGTACTTGACTTGTCCAGGATATTAAAAACTCAATTTTGATTATCTAATCCTCATCCTCTACATCTATCACAATACTCATTTAAGTTCTCAAAACAACACATGTCTAACAAGTCTGCTTCCCCAGGCAACGCTAAGATCAGTATAGACAAGATGAAGAAAGATTGGAAACTAGAAAAGGGAACAGAAGAAAGGAGTTTTGCGTGTCAGTGTCCCAGCCCAGGACACGATCAATACCAAAACATAGACTTCTTCCCGTCATCTGATCCTGAGGCGGAAATGCAGGCTGTTCAGAGAGAAAGGAAATGTAAAAGTAAGTATTGTGGGGCAGGGAGAAGGGAATTGTAGGACTGAGTATTGTGGGGCAGGGAGAAAGGAAGTATAGGAGTGAGGATTGTGGGGCAGGGAGAAAGGAAGTATAGGAGTGAGTACTGTGGGGCAGGGAGAAGAGACGTGTAGGAGTGAGTATTGTGGGGCAAGGAGAAAGGAAATGAAGGAGTGAGTATTGTGGGGCAGGGGAGAAAGGAAGCTATAGAAACCGGGAGTGAGTATTGTGACACGTTTGCAGGAATGGTATTATCTCAAGATACTGAGCTTTAGATTGAGAACGAAAGAAACCATTCTCTTGCAGTGAATTTCCGACCATTTGTCCTTTAACTCTTGGCCTTGCTTCATTGAGAGACATGATTTCTCATCAAATGTGATTTGTGATCCTAAATCATTACGATTTAGTCATTTTCTTAATTGCTCATCTATTCTTTCCAGCTGAATATACTTTATTTCACAGAGTAGTTAGACGTGTTATATAAATCGATGTTATAAATTAATTACTTTAAATGGCACAGATACTTTTCACTATTATACGTTTCAACCCCAAAATCGTTGAGATCTTCAGAGCATGGCGGGTGAGCTAAATCACTGGGCTTGTGACCTCAAATTTTAACTATCTTAGCTTAGTCCCAGCTTAGTGTCATTATAATTTCCAGTCTGCCTGGTTAAACAGTAACCATGGAGATCTGCCCGGTACTCTCGGCTAATAATTAAAATACGGATCCAGTTCGACATTAATGGATAGTGGACACTTCGTTTAATATTCCGCCGGGCAGCAATTCTACTTTTAAGGCCACAAGGTCACAAAGTAATAAAGCATGCAGATAGAAGATACTGACGGGACAGAGACCTGCTCCACTAAAACTCGGGGACACCGAGGGCTGATAATTTGCTCATTTTTCCCGCAAGAGAAGCGAGGGTATTATCAGCCCAGACTCAGACTGGCTGGCGGCAAGTTTCAAAACAAATAACACTGGCGTTCTATATATTAGACACTATATTGTATGATGCGCACGTATCGGATTACACCCCTTCTGCAATCGGAACCGGAACGTATTATAAAATATAATACCTCCGCAACTTCGTGCCCGCAAATTCCCTCCAGCAAGCTGTCGGGAATTATAGCGCGCAGCACTCAGTGGCGGAGGTATTATAGTATTTTAACTCCCTGGCATTTGAGCTATTTTCGGAGGGCATCCAATCAAAATCTTATACGAGATAATCGTAAACGATTACCTTCAACCAGCCATAACTAAAGCTAGGAATAGGATCAATGTCTTTGTAAAAATTGAAAAAAGCATCTGGTAGATCCTGGATCCAACTGCCCTTGTACAGAGAACCCCATTCAAACAGTATCCCTATTTAACTATGCTGTTCCCCCAAATCCGACATCAAGACGGAAGACCCCTTAACACGGCCTGTTTCCAGGAAGATATTACCCTGACACGAGGCATCTGACCTACGAGGGTGCCAGGATGACTTGCAGAAAACAGGGACTGGAGCTGGTAAAGATAGATAGCGAAGCGGAGAACGACCAGGCAGTGAGGGTGATGAACATCCGACAGAAGGGCCGGTTTGCGCCAGCTCTGTTCGATGGTTCTAACTGGTTCTGGATAGGAGCTAGCGACGTTCTGCTGGAGGGACGGTTTATTTGGGAGGACAGAACTGCTTGTAACTACACTAACTGGGGCAAAGGACAGCCTGACAACGCTCACCCTCTCAGAGGAGGTCCGTTTAGATAAATCAGGTCCAGGCTTTCAGGGTCAGGGTGCTGTATTCTGCAATTATTCAAATTTATAAGATCATAAAACATCTTAGAACAATTGAGTGGTACCCCATTATAAATCATGTCTGCAACTTTGAATCAGGACAGAACTACGTGTCGGTATACAGAGGAACAAAGATGTGGGACGATGCCCACTCTTTCAAAACGAGATCCTTCCTCTGCTACGACAGCAGTGTTTCTCTGGAGGAGGAGCTCCAGTACGGTTGTAATGAGCAAGAAGAGTTTGGTAAGGTGCTCCTAGTTGTATTCAATGTTCTCATAGTGATACTCAGCGGATTTATTTCTCATCGTATAAAGTAAATTTAAATATTAATTCTAAAGCGGCTAGACGCCGTTAAGGAGTAAGGTTATTAGATGGTTGAATTACTAATAATTCAAATATTAACAGTGACTCAGAAGCCTCCTAAGATGTTCGGTTTAGGTAAGACTAGGTTTTTTAAATTAAAATTTGCTTAAATCGCTAAAACTACATACTATGTGCTAGGTTTCGATGCTGAAGATGATGATTCAACTGACAGTGAAGACGACAAAACTGACACTCTAGACGACAAAATTGTGAGTGCAGGCGACAAAACTGACAATGAAGACGACAAAACTAACTATGAGACAGGAACTGAAGTCATAGACGAGGACACTAAAGGTGACAGAACATTCTCACATTCCGACAAACTTAAATATTTACAACGGGACATACCATAACTATGCCCCTGAGAGTAAAATACCATCTCGAGTCTCGACACCAAAAAAGCTCAATGTAGAATTAATTGTCAGTAACAATACTAACTATAAAATGATACTCTCCTAGAACCAGGAACCAATGATACTCCTAAGGATGATATCGTGCGACCAAATGGAGTTGGGGTAGGAGAATATTTCGGGGAGCAAGACTGTATCAAGCGAGGTATGGTTTTTAAACCTTATCCTGATAAGTTAAGATTCTACCATAACCTGCACTCTATTCTATCATTAACTTGTTCTCGTTCAATCTCAAACCTGCCCAGGACCTACTAATTAAATTGGACGGGTTTTTATAATTTGTCAGACTTAGGATACCTTACCGACTGGGATTTTTTAATCATTCATCGAAATACATGTTTGACTGAATGTCTGTTACCCAATTAAAAAGTAATTATAGGTTGATATTTCAGAATACCGGGGGGATTACTATGTTCCCAGCTCTACCGAGACATACTCAGACGCTAAGAGGGTCTGTGAGGAGAGAAACATGCGTCTTGCAAATGTTTGGGATGAAGAGACCAACTCCAGGATCCGCAACCTTGTCTTGAACCGTGTGCCCGTGTCTGGATACGTACTCGCCACCATGGGAGAACTCTCGTGGGTACGTGTTTAATGTGAGGTTATGGGATAGAGCTGAAATAGGATGGGGAGCATTAGTTCTAAAAACGATTGAACGCTGATAATTTGGTATCGTTTTTGCAATAACTGAATCCTGATTGGACATTGACAACAAATTCTGCAGTTTTGGGTGGGTCTGGAGGTGGAAGAGAACAAGTTGAGGTGGCAGCCAGGAGGAAATCAGACATCTTACGAGAACTTTGTGTCTTACTACAAGAGGATGGGATATTCTGATGGAAATGGTTAGAAATACGAGCTGATTAAACTTTGAATTTCCTTATCTTTCGTGGACCGGGCCCGGGTCCTTCTTTTCTTCACGTCAAGCTCTGATTATTGAGCATAATTATTGTAATACATGTAATAACAATGATTGATTCCACGAAATATCTAAAGCTAGTCAGGGATCGCTCACATGATAGATTGTGACATTTTATACACCCTCCATACATAGCTATTGTGAAGATTTTAAGGCAAGCATTTCAAAACTCCTTCCCCAGAAGCTGGCTTGCGTCATATTATGTGAATTGTGAATGCTTCCTTATCGAGTAGTTTAATGGAATATGGGCCATGGGATCAGGATGCAATGATATGCCAATCGAATCGATTTCTGTAATTTTTGGACAGGTGTTTAAGTTAAGTACCCCCGTTCCTATCAATACTTCAACATATTTACTTTAAATGAGTACGTTAAACTGACGGAAATAATAATCACATGGTACTTAATATGAAAACCTCAAAACCAGCATCTCTTGCATTCTTCACATTAAGTTTTCAAGGAAAATATGTAGAATTCAGAAGGCAAGCACTCATTCCGTTGGATAAGTGGACATGTGATCAGCCATATAATATCATTCAGAATGCTCTGTGCTGTATAACGAATTTGTAAAATCTTCCCTTTTCATGGATCTTTCGAAATTCGAATGCGCTAACCTTCCTTAGTCCAATTAATTACAATTTACCTGCCAGAGGATTGTCCCTTCACGTAAGTGAGTAAATGGTTCGCTATTTTGTATGATTAGAAAGATTAAACTGATTGAAGAATGAAGATATATAAATTGGCAACGTTCGAGAAGGTCAAGCCATGTTATGATTTAACTCTGTAGTAGCAATAATCATCAAACCCAAATAACTCAAAATCAAAACCTCCTCCGCTCCAGATGTTCTAGCAGTCAGTAAAGTGGACGGAAGTTGGGAATGGAAGAACCCTGCAGACAAGTACATGTTCATTTGTGAGGACGATAAGTGGGAGTGTGCCCTGAGCAAGGGTAAGAAACCTTTCCGTTGATAACAGCCTTCTTATCTTCCTCCTGATAAGAGACTCCTTATCTTTCTCCTCGTCTTATCTATCAGTATCTGTGTTTTATGATGAAGATAGGACATCTCTCAAGAAAACAGTGATCTTGACTGTCAAGGGTTTACTGTTAAGTGCGGCATAAAGAAATCATGTGATGTTATTGTTAATTTATTTACAGTGTTTATGTGCATATAATATGTAAAACTAAATAATATTTGCGATAAAAATGACAGTGAAGCATATCATTATTTTTAATGATGTTGAAGTTTTGTGATTAATGTCATTACACCAAGAAAACTGATCGTTATATCTGATTATCTAAAATTTCTGAGCTGAGTCAGAATTTAGATCTGTTACCTGTGTTCACGCTTAAAACGCTATTTTATGCTGCTCAAGGACTGCGTTAACGTCCGTTAAGTGTTTCCGGACATTAATTTTCCTGGCTTTAATTGTTTTAAGAAACTTAGATTAAATTTCCAAGAAAAGTGATACTCATATAAAAATAGGAACGGCCCAGATACTGTAGCTGTCATATTTAAAATCATGGATTAAACACGGTGACTTTCTTGGGATAGGCTCTTTAGACTAGCTGTTGAAAGTCCGATATATTCGAGCTAATATTAATGGGATATCTAAAATCACGAGTGCTTGTAAAGTGGTTAGGATTACTCTACAACTTTTAAAAACAAGAATTGGTCTTGGTTAAGTTCAAATCAGTAGATAACGTCATTTTTCCAAAAAAAAACTGCTTCATTATATTAATATTATAACAATGAATTTCGGTATAACGAACGTGCTTTCCAACTCGGCCAGAATTATTTTTACCATTTTGAAGACATACTTTAATTCTCCCAATACTGAATACCCTTACAATCACTTTACTACCGGCTGTCGGTTGTGTGAAATCTTATTGATTTTAAAATCTTATATTATTTGTACTGTGTTATCGTTTGTGCGTCCAAAAATAAAGTGAAAAAAGTGACTTTCTTGTTTATGACTAGAAAACTGAAACCTTCATCCATTCTCGAAACATATAATCCAGCTCTATTGCTGATATAACATTATGAGGTAACAGCAACCACATCGAAAAGATTTCGTATTGCAACATTATCTGACACAACGAAACCTTAGATTGATTAATAATTAGGATCAGTTCATTTGAGCAGGTTTTCACAGAGTGTATTGCATATTTCCCCTGACACCTCCCCCCACAATCATATTAAGATCACACTAACTTACAGCCTCACATAATGCACCTCCCCAGAGCTCGGTGCTAACGACATGCCCTGTGTTGGATCAGAGTATGAAGAGCAGATCCTCTACACCTACGACCTGCACTACAGATCCTTCGAGGAGGCCCGGGACCAGTGCTTGGAGGAGGGCCTAGTCCTGGCTAGACCACAGAGTCTGGCTGAAAACGAGGCATTGCGAATGTTTGCGGAGGAACATTACCCTCTGCCTCTCTCTGTTAAGAGCAACCCTACTAATAAGGAAAACTGGGTACGTTAAGTGTAGATATTTGACCAGGCGAAGGAAGATTTCCGTATTTCGTGACCGTATGGGGTCGTTCACATATTACGTAATTAATTTTTGGCTAATTTTTAACCCCCGTCCCCCTCCGTAATCAGTTTTACACACAGCTATTGTGGCTAAATTACACTAGCGTAATCATTAATCATTTGGAAACCCCCTCTACCCCTCGGCTGATTAAGTAATATGTGAACGAAACCCCCCTCTACCCCTCGGCTGATTAAGTAATATGAGAGTATGTGAAAGATCCTCATAGAAATGAGACTAAGTGGTTGCATATGCAAATCTATTTTCTTTTGGTTTTCTCAAACTGGTCGACGTTACGACTCTAATCGTCAGATCTGGATAGATGTAGAGGATGTAGAAGTGGAAGGAGTGTACAGGGCCACTAACGGAGACCGGGTGGACTGGTTCAACTGGGGAACAGACCAACCTGACAATCGCTACCCTAGACGGGGAGGTACACACATTTTTATAATTCGTTAATCGGTTAGTTTCTTACAACGTGTAATCGTCTCATGATGGATCGGAAAATACTTTTTTTTCCTTCTTAGAGTACAAAACCTGTCGAAGTTTAAGACTTTAAAGCGCTCTTCTTTTGTGCTATAATTTTACCAGTTATCCCAACGAGTAGGCCAAGACAGGGTGAGTCTCAATAAGAACACTGGAAAATGGTTCGATGTCTTCGAGGAGCGCAGATTCCAACATGTTTGCCAAGAAAAAGTGTGGCAGTGCGCATCAAAGGTTATTAATTTTCACTAATACATACTTATCTTGGATGTGTAAAATAAATTCGCTTTGTAATGGTATTTGTAGAACAAACTAACTAGTTTAAATAGATAGTGCCCCAAATCATAGATCAGATATTGAGATATACGAAAGCACCAAACACTTTCACTTAGGGTTAAGCAGCCTTCTGGATTAGATCAGTATAGTCAGATTCATGACTACACACTATAATAATACACGGATATAACCCACCTTTCTGAGGCAATGCTCCACGTGGTTATTGGTTAACTAGCTATGTCTCCAGGAGTTGTCTCCCACAGAGGAAGTAGTGACTGTTCCACCTACTGAAGGATCAGGGTTAGCGTTCATTGAGCGACCCAGCTCTTATATGGCTAACATTGGGAGTCGAGTCACCTTCACGGCTAAATACTTACCTGGTACACCTCTTATCTAATGATGTTATATAAAATAAACTGCTTGAAGATAGAAGTCTGCCGGATAAAATTATGTTTTAGCAAATCCGAAAATATGGACAGTATGATGAAATGAAGATTAGTAAGCTATTAGCATCTCACTCATATCCGAAAGCACTAAATAACCAGTTAAATTGCACAGAAAGTAGTAACGTGAGGTGGAGTGTGGGGGGTAAGATAGTGGGAGGACGGAACAAGGAACAGAGCAGGATATACCAGAACGAGGATGGCAGTCTGGTAATACAGGGAGTTCAGGAGAAGGACGCGGGTGTTATCAGTTGTATCCTCTTCACTGGAGATAACGAACTGATAGCTAACAGCGCTTTGAACATAGGTGGGGCTGTTATATTTATATCGATCATGATCCCATGGTAAATAATTTGTTATAAATTGTGGATTCATTGGAACTTGAAAACCTGTTTTACTTGATTGCTTAGCTGTGTTGTCAATGCACTGATATTTTTGAGGTCGTTTAAAATTAAACGAAATTTTGACGCAGAACCGTTCACGATTATTTAATATAATCGATTTCAATCATTCATTATGTTCAATGGGCCAGGGAACCATTTATTTGTAAACCGTTGTGATAATGGAATCGCATAATTTGAGAACCAAGTTTCTCAGTCTAGTCAGCAGAAATTTTAATTTATTGACGGGGTATACTAGCATTATAACCCTTAGTTGAGGAGAAGCTGCTATCGTATGTGAAATTTAATGAAAAAGAAGGAGAAACGTTCTTCGAAGCGGCTACTATCTGCATGGGACTCGGAGGATCAGTGGCTGTCCCTGAGGGCCAGGAGGATAACAATGCCATCGCTAAACTTGTCAAGTAAGTTCCGTGTTCTTGTCAGACCGTGTATCCTATTATTTCCACCACCATCATCCTATCATGTCCTCAGATATTATAAAAAGTTCCAGATATCATAGTGCGAAATTTATTAATTAGCTTATTCCTCGATGCCTATGTCTAACGTCATCCTCCCAGTTCCCATGGAATAATCTGAGCGATGTTCAAGATATTAATCCGTCTGCAAAGCAGTCCTCTCAAACTATACTAGAGCTAATATTGAATTTAATATTCAGTTAATATTGAATATACTACCGTTCATTTACGAAAAGCATTTAAGGTTTGTCTATAACAACTGGCAAAAGAAAATTTGACATCGAGCAGAGTAAATCATACTTTTATCCTTATATATAATCCTTATGGCTTATATATATTACATGTGATGTAAAAAATTAAAATTTGATTCAACCCTTTTACTAAAATAACTTCGTCTGGGGCAATTATGATGAAAGGTTAATGTGCATTATTTGTCTACAATTTGAAGGGTACTGTCGTTTTCTTAATTTCGGGTATTTTGTGACCCGCGACGTAAGAAGTTTAGCGATTTTGAGTAACGTATGCCACATCAATCCCCTTAGAGATTTACAGATTTAGTTGGGGTTTATTGGGAAACCATGATTGAAAGATTGAATATAGAGGGCTAAGTTATAAGCAGCACTTAAAAAGAGTCCAATAAGTAAACAGAAGACTCAAATGTTGTATATGTGGGGTGGTTCACAAAAAGTATCTAGAGAGTTGATCTGCATTTTGTGTCCATATGACGAGAGTGTGAACTGCACGTGTGAACTGCACATGTGAACTGCACGTGTGAACTGCACGTGTGAACTGTACGTGTAAACAGCACCTCTAGCTCTTTTACTTTGTTACTTCGTTGAGTTCATCCGTGGAGCCGGAAGGGTCATCAGATATCTGGCCACCTGGATAGCGAGTAGTCAACCAGTGAGTTTGACCAACTGCAGCTGTTGCCGGCGACCGGAGGGTTGTCCGGTATCAAAGCAAGAAAGTTCGACAAACTACTCTTTAACATTTCAAAAGATTTATTAGACTTTACTGTGTGAGGCACCTTGTTCCACAGCTTCGGTCCTCGAACTGCAAAAGACCTGTCGTACAGTGACTGGTTGCGTAAGGAACTTGACTTTGACAATGAGGGTATGATAGCTACATCACTGTGTCTTGGGGTCACCTTGAACTTGATATCACAGCAATTTTGTACCACATCATGGAGAATCTTCCACATCACCAGGATGATATACCTCTCCCGTCTGCGCTGAAGAGACATCAAAATAAGCTGTACGAGTCTTTCCCAATAGTTGAGATGCTGAAGACCGCTAATACGACTGGTAAAAGTTCTTTGCACCCCTCTATCAGCTGTATTTCAGTCACCTTGGTAGGGCTCCAGAGTGGGCAGCAATACTCCAGAAGGCTTCTTACTAGTGTCAGTGACTTGTAGAGAGTAGTCATGACGGTCTTGTCGCGAGTTTTGAACACACTGAATATATTATATAACCCAAGATAGCGTGCTCCTTGATTTGGATACCATGTTGCCGATATGTGTCGACCAGCTAAGATCACTTGAAACCATAACTCCAAGATCTCGGATGTTCTCGACAGGGTAAAGTATATCCTGACAGGATACTTTGTAACACAGTGTTTCGGCAAAGAAGGGTAGTTCGGGGAATGAGCTCTGTTATAGAGGTGATTTTACAGCTCGAACTTCTGTAGGCTCTAATATATTCTCATACTCTGGAATCACATTTAACGCTCGGTAAAAACAGTCACTGTAGCTGTTTAGACAGTTGGAGTGATATTGGAGGTATAATCTTTGCAAATACATCTTCCAATGAATAAAATGACAATCGAAAGAATTATTGGTAATTTGGGAATCTCTCGATGCACAGTTGAGGCACAGTTCAAGTACAGTCCGGATGTGTTAAAACAGAAGGCCTGATCGGAGCATAGTTGGGCGGAATCACAATCTGTACTGTAATCCAAATAGCAATTCGTAAAATAAACAAAAGAGTATCTGAGCTGAGGACTTTTATAAAAATGTAAACTGATTCTAGACTGTACCCCAATGACAATTTATTAATTGTATCGACAGATTACCGAATTATTTTAGTAAAGTATAATCATATAGTAAAGTATAATCATATAACCAGTAATCTATAGTTATACTTTGCAAATTAAAGATGTGCAAAGAGTCTTGTAGATGTAGATTATGTTCTAAAAAATGTTTAGAACGTAAAGATCCGCTAAAATGCAGCCTTTGTAACGGTATTTTTCATCGGAAATGTGCTAATCTTGAACCAAATGACGTAAATCGAATGAAATTAGACAATAGTCTCATAAACTGGTATTGTTTGGCATGTACTACTGACATATTTCCGTTTACTAATACTGATATTACCACTCTAACTAATGAAAATTCGTGTAACACTTACATACCCTGTAGTACAGAAACAAAAGCTAAATCTAAAGTAAGTTTTGCCAGGGTGAGTTGCAAAACTTGTAAAAAGCTAGGAAACAAATCAAAAATGGCGGTTTGCTGGATATGCGACGCTTATTCGCACAATAAATGCTCAGCGGGCGAGTTAGGATGCAAAAGCTGCACACGTGAATTGTTTCCTGGTTTCGAGGTATCACCTAGACAATTATACACCGTACACGGTAATTACGAGAATAGCGCAAAATTTAACCCATACCATAGAAACCATGACTCTAATTATATAGGTAATACTTTTGAAGAAAACAATGACTTAAACTTTAATCCGTGGGATAACTGCTCAGATGTACTAAATAGCTGTAAATACTACGAACCACGGCAAATAAACACGAGTAGGCCTTATGAATTTAAAGTACAATCTCTTAATATTCGATCTTTGAGCAAAGCAATCTCTAATATACGTGATGAAATTGAACAGCACCTAAAATTTGATGTTCTGTGTTTCAACGAAACAAACTGCACGGTTGAAAATATGGCTTTTCAAGGAAAAGAATTAGAGTTAGAAGGCTTTCATCCCCCCTTTATTCAGGCTCCCGCAAGGGACTCTGGTAAGGGCGGTGGTCTAGTAACCTATGTAAACAAGAATATCTGTGAATTATCTGATGTCACTGCACGATCTGAATTATCTTATAGAGATGATCCAAACGTTGGCGTTTTTCAGTTAATAGAGATAGCTCAAAATGGCCACAAAAACATCATACTATGCAATATGTATCGGTCTCCCAGTGGTAATGTCCCCAGTTACTTAGAAAAATTGGAAAACACCCTAAAAGATTTGGCGCGACATAGCAACAAAAACGTATTATTTCTAGGTGATACCAATATTAATCTATTAGAATACGGCGTAAATGACCATACTACTAAATATGTTGATATTTTTGCAGAGTATGGATTCGCACCAACGATATCACGACCAACTCGTATTACTTGTCACAGTGCTACACTTATTGATCACATTTTCGTAAACCAATGCCATGCTATAACAAAGTCAGGCATTATAACTGAATCGCTATCTGATCACCTTGCCACATTTACCGGCATACTTCTCGACACTAATAGAATAGGAAATAAATTGAAAAATGAAACTTGTGAATCATCAAACCGAGTAATAAATGAAGAGAAAATCGCTCGTTTTGAGGAGAAAATAGCGTCTATTGATTGGAATTTTTTACACAACGTTGACGGGACAAATACAAAATTTGAAGCTTTTCACACTAAATATGAAGAAGTCTATAATGAGTGTTTTCCAGTTAAAAAGAAAAAATCAAACCACAGAAAAAAACTCTAAACCGTGGATATTAGATTGGCTTCAATGTGCATGCAATCGAAAGAACCAACTATATAAATCCTTTGTTAAAGAGCCTACTGAAAAAAATGAAAAAACTTATAAGCATATGAAAAAGTTTGTTGAAAAACAAGTAGATATTGCGAAAAAGAAGTATTACGCATCATATTTTAAAAAGCATGCGAGCAATAGCAAATTACAATGGCAAATGATTAATCAAATATTAAACAAGAAATCAAAAGAAAAAATAAAAATAAGTAAGATTAACTATAAAAATAGAGTTATAACCGACTCACAAGATATAGCTGACAGTTTTAATGATTATTTTACTAATATAGCTGAGAACCTAAAGAGCGAAAACAATCTGGTTCGCGGTGCAGGATCAGTAGGACATTCTCTTCCCCAATCTAGTCGATGTGATTTTGATATGGAGCTGGAGGACTCCTCGCCCTCCGAAATTGCTGAAATCATACATGATCTTAAGAACAAATCGACTTCAGATATGAATATACAGCCTCTTAAAAAGGTTTGCAATGTGCTGTCTCCAGTAGTTAATCACCTGATCTCACACTCCCTTCACGAAGGAGTATTCCCCGAAAAGCTCAAACTTGCTAAGGTTATCCCACTCCATAAAGGAGGATCGCGCAGCGAAATTACAAACTACAGACCAATCTCACTTTTGTCCTGCTTCTCAAAGATATTCGAAAAAATAATGCATGCACGTTTAGTAAAGCACCTAAAATCACGTAATATTCTATATGCGTCGCAATTTGGTTTTAGATCGGGTCACAGTTGTGAACATGCGTTGCTTGAAGCTCAGTTTAACTTACATAAAGCTCTAGAAAGGAAGCAAGTGTCAGCATTACTGCTTCTTGACTTCTCCAAGGCGTTTGACCTAGTAGATAGTGAGATACTGCTACATAAGCTGGAGCACTATGGTGTAAGAGGCCTTAGCTTATCCTGGTTTGAGTCTTATCTAACTAACCGGAAACAGTATGTTCACGTCAACGGTTGCAGTTCAGAAAAAATGGGATTGGAACATGGAGTTCCTCAAGGGTCCATTCTTGGGACTTGGTCCTATATTGTTCATTATTTACATAAACGACCTTGCAAATGTAAGCGATATAGCCCGTTATATTTTCTTCGCTGATGATGCAAACATCATCGTTTCTGCCGACACGTACACTGAACTGAACATGCGTGCAAACAGAGTTTTAAATACTGTACAGACATGGGTTAAAAACAACGGTCTTAAACTTAATGTAGGAAAAACTAAATACATGATATTCACTAACAGATTACCAGAGGATATAAATATTAGTATAGAAGGACAGCGACTAGTGAAAAGTGAACATGAACGATTTTTAGGTGTCATTATTGACTCAAAACTTAGCTGGAGCCAGCACATTAAACAGTTAAAGACTAAAATATCCAGAAATGCAGGCGTAATGATGAAACTTAAAAGTTCCATTCCGAATAAAGCTCAAAAAATGCTATACAATAGTTTAATTCAATCTCACCTGTATTACTGCGCTACTGTTTGGGGTACTAAATCTTTAAATTCCATTCAGTCTTTATTCTCTGCTCAAAAGAAAGCTATTCGCGCCACTGATTCAGAATATCATAACTATTTTTACGACAAAGAAAAACGTAAACTACCATCTCACACAAAATCCATCTTCAACAAAATAGGAATTTTAGCTCTTCCTAATCTCATTGCTAAAAGCTGTCTAACTTTGATGCACAAGGTTTATATGGGAGTAGCACCATCGAGTATCTGTAGTATATTTGAAAAATCACCGCTTAGACAAACGGAAAGGAGAAATCCAAAGTATTTTGAAATTAAGTTCAACAGATTACGGATCACCGATTATAGCATCTCTAACGTAGGACCACGATTATATAACAACACGATAAACGAAATAAATAAAATCCTTCCCTTCAACGTACCTAAGTTACAAGATAAGTTTATTAATTCATACAAGGACAACATTGTACGTTACTTACAGGACAAACAAAAACTTGACCTAGAAAACCTTTCGTGGACGGACAAGAACTTTGTCCTTTACAACTTTTAAACAAAATATTAGCAAAATATAACAGCTGTAAGAATCCTAAACGTTAGTGCAGTCAAATAAATGAACTGCGATAATGCATTTGACAGTCAGTCACTGCAATTTATTCTGCAACTTATTTTTCAATTTTCACTGCCACACTTAGGCTTATCTTGCCTACACATTTTTTAAAAACGAAATTCCTTGCGCACCGCGTACTAAAATTACTTGGATTTCTACCGCTTTGATAAATGACTACAAGAAGATGGGGAGTTAATATTGTTGATTTATATAATATAGATTATTTATTCTTTAGTGTAGATTAACTTTATTTTTATATATTTTACCAAGTGTGAAGGATCAACCATAAGTTATTGATATATTTTTGAAATATTTAACGATAAATTGATATAATAATAAATGATTGTAATATTTTTATTGAGGCACATGCCACCCCATCGCGGGTTTACTACTACATATGATATTTAACGACGGGGCTTTTTTATACGAATCTTACGAACTGAGATTAAGAGTAGTTAAAAAGACTAGTTGAAAGAAAATACTGCGGTCTTGTAGCGAAATATTATTCCATTTTCTTTGTGAAACATCTTTGGATCGTTGGATATCATTGTATTCGAATATTTTAATTTGTATGCATGCATCTAATTTTACTTTTATGTGTTAATTTGTTACTGTTAGGGTGACAATAGCTCATACTTTACTTTTTCACTTCGATGACATGACAATTAACACTTTTATAATATGTTAGAACAAAATATCATGGACGATAATCTAGACGTACTTAGGCTGAACAGGAATCACCAGGTCGAATGGTCAATCAAACTTGAAACTGTTTAGTGTTTACTCTTAGCTTCCTGCTTCGTAAGCTGGTAATTACTGAACTTTAAGTTTATACGAAAACCAACCGTAGACTTTTACTTAATATCGTTAAAAACGATTTTAACATCATAGTCAATTCTCACGAACGATATTATCGATTTTTTATTAACCTTTCCAGCAATATGGACCACACACATTTACTGATTTTAGCTGATAGTGACACAATCTGCTAAATTGCTCGACTTGCTCAGATATCTGCTCTATTTTCATGCTGGCAGTTTGCATTAAATACGTTTGTAAGAACATTAGAGGTGGTTTAAGGATTGTCTGGTAGTGGTACCGGCAACAACCATTTATATTCAAGGCGACTGTATCTACTACTGCAATTACCTTTGACATTTGCATTAAGAATTCAACAAGATACAGTGAGCTGTCTCGCACTAGCTATATGCAATGAGGAGCACACTTCGAGCGCTTTACAGTTATGAAATAAAGTAAAACACAGTATTTAGCTACACTTAATGTTATGAAATAAAGTAAAACACAGTATTTAGCTACAGTTAATGTTATGAAATGAAGTAAAACACAGTATTTAGCTACAGTTATGAAATAAAGTAAAACACAGTCTTTAGCTAAATAAATTTAGCTACCCCGCTTAGTTTAACGATTACAAAAATAAAGATCGCGTCTCCGTCGTCAAAGCAACCTTCTTTCAGCAAACAACTTTAAGCAAACTCAACTTTATAATATGAAACTCTCAGAAATCGTAACTCTACAATTAATATGGAATATGGATCAAATTTTATTTTCACTTCCAATTTTACAACTATGAAATAACGTTTGACTTTTATTTAATCAATCCCAAAACTAGAATTGAAGAGATTATATTAGAATAGCAACCCAGCTCCTTACCAAACACTGCGAACTAAACTACCAAACACTGCGAACTAAACTACCAAACACTGCGAACTAAACTACCACCTTAACAAATTCAAGCCGACAACAATCCCCAAAACACTGTAACTGTAAGTGTATGCCGTAGGATTCAATCCTGCTTAAATGGTGATTTCTAAAGTTGCTTTAAAAGTTGTCAGCACTGATTCTAGCATCCAACTCTTCACATCCAGCAGTTACTATTACCCTTGAGGAAGGTCCCATTTTAATTGTTACGGATGCTGCAGATTTCGACCATTCATTTTAATTTCAGACCTTCCTATCCCTTAGTCATTTTACACAATATAACAATTATTGTGAAAGATTGCACAAGCTGTTCCAAATCCCCTTCCCACTTTTCCCATGCATTACTAGTACTAGTACGTGAACGATCCCTAATAATAGTAATAAATCCTGAGATTTAAGAAGTTTATTTTATTTTTATTCCGATCTGGGTTCTTGCTGTCTGGAAATGGAAAATATCATATTTATGAAAGTCGCTCATACTCTGACTCATAGAACGCGACACGTTAAAAGGCGTTCGTTCTTGTTTCTCGTAAAGCATCAAAATACATTTTTGTAGTCTCGATTAATTGTTTTAATTAATTTTAATTTGAAGTCTCAGCACATAGGAACTATAATATATCAAATGACAGGTTCGGGAGATGACCAAGACAAGCGAAATATGACAAATGTAACTTTACTAAACGTGTAAATCTCAGCTGCCACTAAATATGCAATCCCAATTTTCGAAGATTTCCAGCAAAGAAGCGGGAAAGTTTGAGACTTCAAACTCAAATCTGCATCTTCATATATTCATACTCTGTAAAGTATATACACAAATAAATTACAGTGAAGTCCAAACTTTTGTTCATGATAACTTTGAAGCAATACTGGTTGATGGCGAATTTTGATTTTTAGGATAAAATTAAAATAATCGCCGATAAAACAGCACCACTAAAACTACACAGTTTTCAACATCCTCAAACTTTCACAAGTTTCAGTCGAAGATTAATAAAAGGCAGAAATATATTCCTATTAAATCTTTCTAATAGCACCTCCACACTCCAGGGATAAGAACGTGTGGCTGGGGATAACCCGCTCAGAATCTGGAGACTATGTCCGTCAGGACGATAAGACAACGCTGGTCCCGTTCTCTAACTGGAAGGGAGGAGCCCCGGAAGTTGTTGAGGGGAGTGCTAGTGGGATTGTTCTCAACGCTGACGAGTCCAGTGATGAGCTCGGAATGTGGTATGCCAGATCGGTTAACGAGAACCATGGGACTGTCTGTGAAAGAGGTAGGTTCAAGTTGCGAGCTGGTCGTGGTTTAGCGATAATTTAGCGATGATTACTTTATTTCGTGAACAGATATTCATAAGCTGTTACTATAACCAACATTTATAATGTTGTTATCAGTATTTAAATACGTGGGATTCAGGTGAGAATATTTTTTAACCATCGATCACTATTCCAGTGCCCCGTAAGCTGAACAGAAAACGAAGATCAAAGGTGTAAAAAGGGATGTATTCTACACAACATCAAAGAAAAAACATGCTTTAGCTGACTTTTCATCAATGAAGACACTACGAAGTCTTATAAAGTGTTTTATAAAGACTATTTATATTCGAATTTAGTTTGCTTTATGTTGAAACTTTGGCGGGTTTTTTACTTTATCGGCGTTTTATATGAAAGTGATTTGGCAATGGACTTGTCATCGATGTACACCAAGCTGTAAATATACAATGGTTCTGATTTTCACATGAAACTGATCAGTATTTTCAAACCGCGAATGGTAACTTGTCAGACTTTTTACCCGCAAAGGGATCAAAGTTCAAATTCTAGCCTTGGCTAATTTTAAAAAGGCAACCGGTGCTTTTACAATTCCTTCTGTACTAAGTTTGGTTACAAATTAAAATTGCATTTTAAGAAAATTGACATAAAAATGCATGCAAAAATGAGCCTATTCCTTTATCAAGGATAGACCACTCTGACCTTTGTAATTTATCGAATGTTTCATCACCCAGAACAGTTTCTTAATACTTTAAAATTAAAGTCAACCATCATAGTAATGTAACACGTAGTACAGACTAATCTGGGACTGGGGAATGGTGTCTTCCTCTATCCTCATTTCATTGTTCAACAAATCCCGAATCTAAGGAGACGAAGCCTTTTACTTTAGTCTTCAGTATCTCCACTTCACCCTATACTGTCTATCATCTATGCGAAGGTTAAGGCATTAAGATGAGGCGTAATTTCGACTATCCTTTTTTGTTTTCAGGTGTGGTGCCACTTGATTAATCACTCGCCCTAAATAAATTGTATTGGAATTTGTTCAGAAGCTGCTATATATAACTGTGTAGAAATGAAACACAGATGGGTGTGAACAAAAAGCGATCTTCCCAAATCCCAGTCTGAATTTTATTTCGGTTCAGTTGACCTTGGTGAGGTCCCAAAAATGTTCAGCTTTCTACGATGAAATAAAGATAAATGGCTCATTTTTTCCATAACTTACCAGATAGCACAAAATATACAGCCCATATATCATGCATAATATGCCATGCAGTGTGCACATGGTTCCAAATCAACGGACAGATTATTCCCTGGACGCGCGCGCAGTTTCTGTCACAGTAAGTGCTGAAAAGCGTATCAAATCAATAGAAGCGCCTTCCATCCATCACTGAATTTATTGCATACTTGGAAATACTTTCTTGTGTTTCAAGTGGTATCTCAAATTTGGCACATAGAAATCCGTCCAAACTTACACAAACTATCAGTCTTATACTCATTTTACTGTCTGGAAAGTTTAAAGGAAATTATATAATAGAATCAATATGGAGATAATCATCTATATTCTGTATTCTACAGTATATGTATTCTGTATTCTGTATTCAGTAGTGTACCATGGATTTAGACATATTTTCTTGTGTTTCAACAGATATCTCAAATTTGAAGCGTAGAAATTTACCCAAACTCGCATATATTATCTGCCGTATAACCCATCTTGCAAGTTTGAAGAAAATCGTACAGTAGGATCTCGAGAAATATGATCTCTACCTTACTCGGGATTATTACGACGGGTTTATTAACGACCGGTTAAAATATGGTTCGGGAAAAATATGGCGAAATTGCTCAAAACCCACCACAATTTCCCGGTCGCCATTTTACCGGTGTCCAACCTTTCAATTTTAGATTCAAAAATTTTGTCTCAGATGTAAATTTCCTTATTAGAGATAAGCAAGTTTAGAAATTTTCGCATTGCTAAAACTTGTGAAACAAGTCGAATTATCAATAATTGTTGAAAGTAGACAGAAATAATGACTCGTGGTTAATCAAACTAGATGGAAAATAATTTTTAACATTTGAAGCGTAACAACCAGATCGATATCTTACTATACATAAAGCGAGACGATATATATATATATATATATATATTTTGTAGCTGTACTCCTACACATTAAAAGTCGGTGTTGATTAGATCTTCGAAATAAGTCTTTGCATCATTTTATTAAACATCGTTATCTGAGATAAAATTGTTCTAAAAGCAACTGGAATATTCACAAATCTTTAAAATAACTTACAAACTAGGAAAGGAAAACAAGTCTTAGGAAGACGTACAAAACTATGTGACTTAAAACGGTACAAAACTAAAATATACTGAGTAATAATCAAACGAAAAGAATGGCTGCGTACATTTTATCTAATCTATTAAAGATTAGTTTCTCGGAAAAAGCTAGATTTCTCTGAATCAAGCAGTAAAAATATATAAATAGTAATGAATATAACACGTCTCTGATAGCAATATTGTAAACTAAACACGGGTTAATAGGCTGAGATCATGTCAAATAAAATAAATAAACTAAACACTAAGCTCCAGCGGATTTAAAAAGGATGTGGTTACTATCGAGGGTGTTCATACCCCCATAACGTTCAAGGGTTTTCAATTGGGTCTGGTAGAACCCCTCTCTAGCTTCCATGGCCTTTTCCCTATCTGCTTGACTTATTTCAGGTTTAAATTCAAGAGCGTCCACTATAATAACAGAAAGGTGCGTACTAAGTGAAGAGTTATATAAGGCTACTGAACTAAAATCTAAATCATGATCAATATCTAAAAAGTGATTTACTAACTTACAACTTCTGATACCTTTCTTAATGTGGCTCTTATGATTAGAAAATCTCTTAGGGAGATTAGAAGTAGTATATCCTACATACGACTGTTTACAAGTTCTACACTCCATTAAATAAATAAGGTTATTACTCTGACAAGTTATATATTTAGTAATAGGGAACACTTGTTTAGAATGGTGACTACTAAATTTGGAACAAGGGGACAGGAAACTTTGCTTACAAACATAGCATTTTCCACAGGCATGGCACCCTGCGTTGTCAGCCTCCCGAACAGCCGGCAATATTGCAGCGTCTGGTTCAAGAAATTGACTAGCAGTGGCTTCTCCATCTCTATCACTGCTTACAGTTCCACTAGCACGATACTTATTGTGTACAAGCATGCCACCGATAGTTTGATTCTTTCGGTGACTTACAAATACACTGTTAGCACGTACTAGCTTCTTCAAGGCTGGATCGAGATTAAGAAGGTGCTTATACTTGTGAATAATGCTCCCCATGTTGGGAAGTGCTGGATTCTGATCCATCACCATGGGTATTAGACAAGTAGTCGTCTCATCCTTATTTTTAGGGGCATACAAGTTTTTCCTATTGGTTATATCACTAAATTTGTTGAAAGCATCGTCTACAATACTAGAATGGTAACCACGGGCTACAAGGTAACCAGTATATACCTCCCTTTGCTCTAAGAAATTAGTGTCTTCACTATTGTTCTGCCTCACTCGCCTCGCCACACCATAGGGTATGTTTTTGAGAACATGGCTCCTATGACATGAGGTGGGGATGAGATAGCAGTGGGTGTCACTGGGCTTAGAGTAAAGTTTGGTATGAATAACATCACCAACAGCATAGACATAGGTGTCTAAAAACTCAACACCATCCTTAGAGTAGTTGTAAGTAAACACAAGGTCCGGATGGATACTATTGAGCCATTCCATAAATTGTAGAAGCTCCTCAACAGTACCAGGCCAGGCCATGTATATATCGTCACGCAACCTACTCCAGAATGCTGGTCTGTGTGGCGGGCCATGTTCTAAATCTCTTTCATTAACTAAAATATCGATCTTATCCATTATATATTTATTTATCCGTGCCATTTTACTGACACCACGGCATCAACTTTAACGCGAATTTCTGCAAAAACCGTCAAAGATATACAACTGAAACTTTTTTGACTGGGTCAAATGCTTTAATGGCCTCCAAATCAGCATGAAAAAATAAAAAATTGGCCAAGAAATAGGAGTTTTAGAGCCCAAAATTTGGTACCCCAAGTGGTGTCAAAAACGCGAATTAAATAGGTAATAATTGTTTTAGTCTCTTGAGTCTTGAAAAAGGCGATGTTCTTGCACCTCTCATTTTTATCATCGTCCTGGATTTCATACTTAGACTGGCAATAGGGCCACGTGATGGGTTTAAAGTTGGAAGTAACTACATTGCTGATTTGGACTTCGCCGATGACCTAGCAACAATTACTGACAGCTTCAGCGAAAATGGCCGCCTTTGCCAAAGCATTTCTGACATAGCAGCCCGTTATGGCCTCCTTATTAACATCGAAAAGACCAAATACATGTCCTATAACATCCCGCGACCTGTCAACTCAGACGATAGAGTCTTTATTAACGGCAGCCCTTTAGAAGAAGTTCATGACTTTAAGTACCTTGGATCCTTTATAGCCTCAACAAGCAGAGACATCAATGTCAGGAAAGGCCTCGCATGGAAAGCTTTACAGAGTCTAGATGCTTTTTGGAAATCTAATATGTCTAGGAAGATCAAGACTAAGATTTTTCGAACTGCAGTAGAACCTGTTCTGCTGTATGGTGCAGAAACCTGGACTCTTAAAAAGGCTGATATTAGAGCACTAGACGGTGTTTATACTAGAATGATACAAAGGGTCTTTGGTATCTCATGGAAATCACATACACCTAACTCCGTTCTTTACGGAAAGATTCCATCGGTGACAGATACTATAAAGACACGAAGACTTCGTTTTGCAGGACATGTCTACCGTCTACAGGACCAACCTGCTCAACAACTCCTTTTTTGGCAACCATCCTATGGCCAGCGTTATCGAGGACGACCACACAAGACCTTCCCGGACGTCCTACTTGAAGACACTGGAATGGAACCTGACCAGCTGCGTTTACTCATGTGTGATAGGGATAAATGGAGAGAAGCGTTGACACGAAACTCGTTCCAGATTTCATCTGGATCGACCTAGGCAGGTAGTCAGGAGTCTTGACACCATTTTAGGGTTAGACGGGTTCCTGCTAGTTAAGATAAAGGGAGAGCTGTTTAGTCGGGTGGGCGACAATTGACCCCCCGACAATTGACCCCCCGACAATTGACCCCAGTGTAATTACATGGGGGGTCAATTGTCGGGGGGTCAATTGTCGTACTAAACCCTAGATTGCGCGACAATTGACCCCAGTGTAATTACATAGGGGTCAATTGTCGGGGGGTCAATTGTCGGGGGGTCAATTGTCGGGGGGTCAATTGTCGGGGGGTCAATTGTCGGGGGGTCAATTGTCGCGGTACCGTTTAGTCTTCCAATAAGTTGTAATCATCTTCGTTATCTTCATCTGGATCATCCCTTTCATCAGTTTTAGTTTGTTCAAGTTTTAATTTAACTGTTAATTTTACTTTGAGTCCTATTTCATTATGTAGAGATAGTCAATACCTAAGAAATTAAAAATTGGCCTATTTAAATCAAATTTGACAATAAGGATATATGACAAGAATTGGGAAAAAAGGTGAATTTTTTGCAATTTTAGCCAAATGAAGTCGAAAAACCTACAACAAGTGTCCCAATAGTCTTCTTTAGTGAATATAAGACAACGATTAAAATATGAGCACCCATACCCCTTGGGAACCCTAAAAGCTGAGTAGGCGGGTTTATTAACGACCGGTGAAAATGTGGTTCGGGAAAAATATGGCGAAATTACCCTAAACCCACCACTTTATCCCGGTCATAATAATCCCGAGTAAGGTAGATATATTAACCAACCATTAATTTGGGATATTTTCTGTGTTTGAAGTGAAATCTTAAGACAATATAATATTGCTTAATATAGACCTTGTAGAATGTTCACAATATGATCTCCACCCTGTGGACCATTCTTTAGACTTTTCACAGTACAAGTCGCTGTAAAATGAATTTCAACATTGAATGAGGGGAACCAAACAGAGCTCCACTATTCCCAGAAAGGAATGTAAAGTGTTCGGAATTCCACATATTTAAATACCCTGCACACTCATACACAGCCGTAAGATCAGAATCTTGACGTGCACAAATTATCAAATACATTTCGTGTATTGAAAGTATAGCAGATCACATTGGCATGTTGTTTATATCAACGGCGAAGTATTGGGCGTTAAAGTAAGCTTACTTAGATAACAAGATGGGTAAATCAATTTTAATCATTTTAACTTCTAATCACAATGTTTGTAAACAAATGAAATACTTCTTAAGTAAAGCTGTAAATACTCAAAACGGTGCTATAGATTCGTATAATTTGAGTATTTGACATAAGAAGTCAGATGGCAGGATGAACTGTATCCGGGTCCCATTGTTTCCGGGTCCCTTTCTATCCGCGTACCTTTTATTCCTTCGTAGTATTGTTCATAAGACTATAAAAGCATTCGACCCAGCCAAAAAATGTTTCATCGGTATATCTCTCACGGTTTTTTCAAGAAAATGGTTAAGAAGTTTAATTAAAATGGCAACAGATATAATACATATCGTCTTGCTTTATATATATTATAGTAAGATTGGAGGCGTTTTTTTTTATCTCAGATGCTGCTTATTCAAATTATTCATATTTTATCTCACATTATTCATATTTTTACATGCATTATGCATACAAAAGTCTTATCAGCACAGAATTACGACTGCGGAGTGTGGCCATATTATAAGAGTATGGATTGTAAACCGATACATTTGCACATATTATGAACCCCGAGTGCAATCTAACTTTTCAACTCGAGCACAATTTAAGTGCAATTTAACTGTCACTTTGAGATGCTTGTATTCTGAATGTGATCGCGGGAGCATGTGTGATTGTGTGTTATGTAACCGAACAGTTATATAGAATATGCAGGTGTATGCCATATTGGTATAATTATAGTACCTTATTATATGTATTTTAAGATTAAACAAGTTAGTCGTCCAAGAAGGCGTCAACTGGGAGCCAGCACCTCAATATCGTGATAATATGTTGTGTACACATTTATTTTTATTTTTTGTAGTACAGTATAAAAATACATGTAACCCTACATTATACAACATCATATTTATGTAAAAATATGGTGTTATTAATTATTAAAAGTTCATAATTAGACTGATTTGTACGTATTGTAATCGTTATCACTTCCAGTTTTGGTGAGACAGGATGATTCCGTAGGGAAAATGTGGCCAACAATTCCACCCCATCAATAAAAATATGCTATTTTAATGGGCGCATACCATTCGTTTAGCATCATATTATGATTCGTCCCTCGCCCAATGCCCATACCCAAAACCGGCTACTTTTGGAAAAATAGCTAAAAATAGCTAAATCTAAATATAAATCAATAACTAAAACAAAAATAAAATTGTGTGTAAAGTGTCGTAATGATTAGATGCCAGATGGCCTTTTTAAACTTTGATCATGAGGCTGCAACTTGCTCATTACTCCGTTAATGATATTCGAACGTTTCGAAGAATCTTAAATTCCCCATCCTAACTCCAAAGCTGAAATTAAATTTAGTCGGATAGGTCATCCACTTTTAATTTTATAAAATTGATTGTCGCTAATCTTACTCCTTGTAAGGCACGATGAAGTCACTGTATATATATATACAGTAGGTATATCTGCATCAAACTTTAAGGAGGGCACGAAATGGAGTGTTCAAGCCCCTACCTGGGTGATTTGATTTGTTATTGTCTCAGAACGAACTTCTATTTTTAAAGCAGGACTAATAGTCCGCAGGACGACGTTTAACTCCGTCTATGCCGATTGCCGGTCTCCATTTTAACACCAAAATGGAGGTAAGCCCGTGATCACAGTGCTAGTACACTATTGATGAAGACCAAAGAATCGAGATTACTGTGTCTCTTCGAGTTCTTACACTAGTCATACACTCTCTACTTACTACTAGATGATGGACAGCTTACTACAAGGGATTGGACGATTGATGATAACTCTATTTAGTAGTCCGTAGGACGGGCATACCGCTAGTATGAATAATTTACGAGTTACATAAACTAAAACATATTATATAATGTATCTAAACTAAATAACTCGTGTTTACCTACCAATGTTTACATTACAAACAGATATATTGGATCTTAACAATGTAGGTCAGGGCAGTGGCTCGTTCACCATGGTAATACACAGCCACAAAACAAACACCCACAATTATTCACCGAATATTACTTTTCCACGCACTAATAATTAACATTATTGATTACTCGTAATACACACCGTAAAACTATTTTCACACAAGCTATTTTCAGAAAAACGGGCCTACTATCGTATAACGTCAGAAATTCATGTGATAAGCGTGCATAAGAGGCATGTCTGGTGAAAGTGTGTGATGTGAGTGTAAATTTTGTTTAGACAATCTCATCAGATAGGAAGATAATTGGGCTCTATAGAATCTACTAATGGTAACGAAATCTCTATCTTGTTTACCCTTAATCTAATTATTTTTCTGGTATCCGTTTTCTTCTCCAAAATCAGACAATGATAAATTCTTCAATTAGATAGTTTAAATTGTTTGACGTTAAACGATATAATGGTCTTACGTAGTATTTACGTAGTATTTACGTAGTATTTACGTAGTATTTACGTAGTATTTACGTAGTATTTACGTAGTATTTACGTAGTATTTACGTAGTATTTACGTATTAGATACGTAATATGCGTCATTTCATTAACCATTGACGCAAGGAATGCAGGAAGATTGTAAAAATGTAAATTAAATCTTATGTTATTAGGTTCCTAAAAATAAAAAACTTGTAGCCAGAGAATGGCATACTGACCGTGGGGAGACGTTTTCTGAAGTTGTGGATACCCGATGATATCAACTGTTGTTATATCTGAAATATAATCATCGTAATATGACGTCATACAGTTGTAGTATGAGCACGTGACAGAATGGAAATGCAATCATGCGAGCTAAATACTGACAGACACATAGCGGTTGAAATGTAATATGTGGTTAATAAAAATGACGATGATATCGATTAAAACCATGTTTTCCTTTATATCACCTTCTAATGTATTGTGAGAAGAGAGTGCTTCATGACTATATCACCAGCGAGTATGTCTCCTCCGTTCTTTTCTTACATGAGGGCTAATGTGACTCTCGTTAAACAACGAATACACTATATTCAGCAGATGCATTCATTGTTAAAACGTTATCTCGTGATAATAATAATATGGCGAGTAAGTTGCATGCATTGCTTATCAGTACAGATATGATCAAATAGCATTCAGTCAAACCCGTTTATTTCATTGATGAAAGACTTTCAATAAATGAAATATTTGATTGTAGCCGTCAATATCATTTTCAGCTCAAGGAACATTGACAATCACTTTATATCATACACAAACATTCGATAATAGAATTTAAAACATTGAATATTGAAGATTTATGATTCAGCAAGTTTACATAATTTTTCATCAGATAAAGATTTATTCAGCAAAATCTTTTCGGAGTATATATTTTGATTGTGACGACATCCAAACATTCAAACATTCAAACCAGAAAATAAAGAATTGCTTCACATCCAAAAGATAATGATCTCATTAAAATTGAGTTTAAATTGCACACTGGAAACATCAGTTTAAGATAAAGATACATGCTTCATGATATCAAATTTCCAATTGATTCTGCTATCAGTCTCAGAACAAATTACAGTACAAAGTCTACCTGTAAATCTTATTTTTCGTAATTTAAGCACTGCTGATTGTGTACAGGAACTGAAACTCACCCAGATAAGCTGAGGTGTGCAGTGAACGACTCAGATTGTTTCCAAGACTTTTCATCGCCTTGATCTAACACATGCCTCTTTTAAGTCACCTACCTCTTCGTCCCTTATGTATTGTTTTAAAAGTAGAAAAGTAGAGTGGAAGTACAGTACCATTAGATCGTCTGTAAAGATACACTTCTTTTTTGTTCTTTTAACACTTAGTTAAGCAGTGTTTACATAACTCCGCATCTATTTATAACTACAAATATTTGAGGTGGTGACCACAGGATACCACAGCAGCTGCATACACTATAACCACGCCTGCACACAGCCACACACATGACGGTATGCCACACTACTACCATACCTTCCAAATTACCCTTCTTAACTCCAACACAGATGTAACACTTGCTGACTTGCACTCTACTAATATTACCACATACCCCTTCTTAATTCCAATACAGACACAGGCACTGTACTAATATTACCACAATGTACATGTCAGCTCGCCCGTTTAAAAGCACAATTAGAGTCACTCATGGGAGGGGCTATTGACCTTTATTAGCTCCTGTAGAACACGTTTTTTACACTACTGTACTTTATATTTATATTAAAGAGAGAGTTATGTAGAATGGTAAAGGTATAGAATGTACCTTGAATTTTAATAATCGCACACCGCTGCTTCATGCTGCACTATTTCAAGGTTCATTATTGCAACAGTCTTAAGAAACATAAGCCGATGGTTGAACTATATTATATTGTATATTGGTCCACCCCATGGTACAGCCACCTGCTAAGCTACATATTGTACACATCACATCACAATGTGTGTAATGTTAACACTAGTCCCCGACAGTATGATATCTATATACGGTATACTCTAAACTGTGTATCAAATATTTCTAATTCCGCACAGAATGTCATTTTGGGACTGTGATTGAATTTCTACACACGCTGAACAAAAGCTTGGATTTGTGTCTGTATTGAAGAATTGCGTTTAGGAATGGGAAGAAATTAGGTTTAATCGATTGAGAGTTATTGCAATAATCCTGGGAATGTAGGATCAAGAGACTATTATTAGAATTAACCCTTGGTATACAGGCATAATTATTTGATTAATTTATTTAACTGCTTTCAGAGTCGTCTATCTTATGTAAGTTTGACAACGAAACTAAAACTATGGAAACTTTCGATATCGAAAATTGCACAATATTTATCAGCTTAACAAACTTTATCAGGCCATCCAATCAATTATTACACACGTATGACGTAACGTATTAGTTATCTATTACAACCACACACACATATTAGATATCTATTACACCCACACACACACATATAAAGTATCTATTACACCCACACACATATATTAGGTATCTATTACAACCACACACACATATTATGTATCTATTACACCCACACACACATATTAGGTTTTTTCTACCCACACACACACATATTAGGTATCTATTACACCCACACACATATATTAGGTATCTATTACACCCACACACACATATTAGGTATCTATTACACCCACACACATATACAAAGTATCTATTACACCCACACCCACACATTAGGTATCTATTACACACACACACATATATTAAGTATCTATTACACCCACACCCACACATTAGGTATCTATTACACCCACACACACATATAAGAACACTACCCATCCTGAACAATACCATAACTTTACACTGAAAGTAACCAGACTTAGATAATCACTTTTTGCGATCAAATTAATTTCTCACTCTCTCATTACTTTAAGTTGATTTCTTGGTTGAAACTGGAGAGTTGATAGAATAAGAAGTGTTGCTGAAGCCCGGATATTCTGGAAACACGTAATTTATAAAGATTTTTTTTCAGGCGTAAATCAGGTTATGACCGTAGTCAGAATATTTTCGTTGTGATCTAAATTCTGGCGAAATTTGCGGCTTCAGCTATTTCTGCTGGTGTACACGAGAATAGTGTAGTGATGTGTTTAGCGCAATCCTCACAAATAACACCAACTCAATCATGATCCAATCTCATGGGAATTGGAATTCCTAAGTTCTGATGTAAAATATATTACTGGAGTTTGTGTAGGATTGTTGTACAATGATATTATTGTTCTGGAATTAGTCATATGATACAGGACTGTTTGTAAACTTCAATGATTGATATTAACAGCATCTGATAATTTTCTTCTATTTTCAGACTCAATTTTCAAATAAACGGAATCATCTTCGTAGAATCAGATCAGTAATAATAATCTAAATAAATTGAAATTTAATAACACTGCTTTTAAGATATTTGACTTATACTCAGCAGTGTTTGAACTGGTCATCCCAGAAAATATCATGAATACTGAGCTAAAAGATAACTTATGCTTGAAAATAATGTGGTCTCAAATAAAAGACTCTAAATCGGATATGTACACGTATTCAACTGATCTTCTTGATTACAGTTTGTAATCTCCAGAAAATATTAAAAATCAAAACTTATGTGGATCATGCTAATTTATAAGTCACTTTTACAAAAATAATGTATAAATCAGTGTCTAATTCAGTTCAATGTCCCCTCTTTTACTGAAGGTAATTCAACATGTCAGCTGCTATTGCTGAATTCACAAAACTCTAGATGAAGTATTGATTTAGGGCGGCAAAAATAATGCTTTAAGATTCGGTTCAGTCCTGTTCAGTTAGTCTGTACTGACAAAGAAATCTAGCAAAATGGTTTTCATTTCCCATTACACGATCGCTCTTCTTTTTAAACTCCGTCATCATCCATGGCCGGATGATCATGTAGTGAAATATGTACGGAATGCACAGCGGAAACAGGAACGGCATTCCGTCACCATCATTCGACCCACGACTGTAGTCTATGATGGACTCGAACTGAGAAAACCTCCATTCTGCATGCTTGTCAGAGGTTACTTTGCTGTAGACGTCAACTATGATGGCGATCACCAGGTTCATGCACAAGAGACCCAGGATGATGGCGTAGAGCACAAGCAGGATGATCATGAACACGGTGGTTGTGGTGTCACGTGATCTTTGTAAGTTTATTCTGTCTTCTACGTCCAACCCTCCAAACATGGTCCAGACAAGTGTTATAACTGCATTGCCAAAAGATCCAAAGTAGTAAAAGTCATCCTCATCATCAACTCCGTCGATACCGTGGACACCTCTGTAGCAAGTCATCATGCCTACGATGGGAATAAGGAAGCCCGCTATGACGAACAGATAGATGAAGACCAATCCAGATACCTCGACAAATGTTCTTTTAGCTGACAATATCAAGGGACCCAAACCAGGAATATGGATTGTGTAGACCTGAGCAGATGAACTAGAGCCACCACAGCCCCAGTGCAGTAGAAATATATAGTGAAAATCAGTTCGTGTTGTACATGCTGAGCATCATGGTCGATGCTTACATACGCTCCAAACATCTGGGATTTGAAAAGAGCATAGAGTTTGAAGACCATGCCGGTCACGAGCAATATTATCAGGAAAACATCTGTCACGTTGTAAAAACTCTTAAAATACATCTTCAACTTATCCCTCATCATTTTCCCTTTCTTTGAATACGCTTGGTAACACTCCGTAAGAACCCGTGCAAAAATGCTCGCCCATAACAGATATTCTGAGGTAGGTATTTCTGGGTCATGGAGCTTCATCATGACATTTCCATCAATTCCCACTTTGAAATTAGTGTCGTTCTCAATTGTTATTTCGCCCTGAGTTAGTTTTTGAAGAAGGTCATCAACAAATTTGGGGTCGGGAGCAGTAACCATAATAACCACCAAGAGGAATGTAATCAACATACTGTAGTTCAGAAGGTCAGCTAGGTAGGAGGAAAAGGGGGAGAAGAAAACAGCTCGTCTTTTCCTTCTTCTTCCTTTATCTATGGAGAAAAATGCTGCCGGGATGTAGAATAAGTTCCAGAAAAGGAAAATAGCGGCCCTTTTTGCAACGTAAAAAGTTTGGGTAAATCGTCCACTTCGGGCCTTCGTGAAAACTATGGCTTCTGATCCCCAGAACTTTTGCCAGACAACCTTTTGGTATATTTTCGAAGCCACGAGTTCCACATTCATAGATTCAAACACATCTAGTAGCATTGTGTCATCGTCCAATCTCATAAGTTTAATAACTTCAATAGGTGTGACACAGACTGCCATCAGAGACAAAGCAAAATTTTTGGGAATCAGTTCCAACTTTTCAATGCTCCGATCATATATCGAGTTGTTATCGTTCTCAATCTTGGCATACTCAAGTAGACGACTTTGTAGTCGCAGAGCAGTCCTCATGGGGTCTCTACGTTGCATCAGAGCTTTTCTTGTCACAACCTTTTCCAGTAGAAGAATTGGGGAGTAAACATCTTGACCGCTGTAGGGCGAGCTATTAACGATTGCTTCCAGCAAACCTAAAACATACTCCAAATAGTGATCGTCTTCAGTGAACTCTGTCACGTGGCCCGAGTAAGAGTTTATCCAAGCTACAGGATCCTTCATATAATCTAGCCTCGTTCCTTCGACAGGAACACAAAACTCAACATGAGGTCGGGGGTTGAGAAGTTCTCTGATTGTTCTGTTATCATATTCTGCTCTCTCTGCAAAGTTCAATATAACGTTCATAGGCAGGTTGTTCATGGAAAAGGTTTCTTAAACTCCCTCGTTTGGGGAGATGCAATCGATCGATGTTTGAGTCAAAATCAGGAAACCGTTCCGCCTGTGCAAAGCCGGATCTAACTGCGTCGTTATGGCCGTTGACTTTACAAATCAATTGTCTTATTATCACATCTGGACTCACAAAAGCTAACAATGAAACGGAAAAGGTTGCTTGCGAAAATAATCTGACGACAACAGCTACCACTGCTTTTAAACTTAAATATCAATAATTTAGGTTTACAAATGAGCGACAAGGGTGGTACAAAATCCATTGACCAATACTGACGTGACAACACAGACAGATTTACATTGGTAGTTTCCATACTCTAATCAAGATTAACGTTTCGTATCTTGGTTTAATAACAAATTATGCAATGACTGACATGAGTCCAATTTACTTTCAGTATCAACTTACCGTAATTTAACAGCTCACAGCTAATAGTGACATGACCGCATTCACATTAAGTAATTATCATAATTGAATCGCGAAGTTAATGGCTGCTTAGGCATGGCACAGTCCCATTTTCCAAAAATATGACCACATTTGACGGAATGTCGTTTGATGAGTGTCTCAGAACCTGGAAACGGTTCTTTGAGGATCCGAATTAGGGTTAAAAAATAATCGTTTTCATGTTTTGAGACGCTCATCAAACAATTCTCCGTCAAATTTGAGTTTGATGTAATAATAGTCAGAGAAAATCTCAGTAATGGCAGCCACGGGACAATAACATTGGGATCCTGATATTTAACTATTAACACGATACCATAACTATAACTTTGATAATGAGCCGGGAGTGGTAACTTTATCGAGACAAATTCTCAGAAAGCCGAGGAGAACACCATCATTAGCTGTTACTAATGAACTTAACGAGCCTAAAAACCTGATAAAGTTGGGTTGTTAAAGATATTTAGATGGAGCAGTTTGTCTACTTCAACTCAACTTATGGTTGTTAAGTGGTCATCAAAAAGGGTTCTGAGGCACTTATAATAGTCAAACAGAGTAAATTGAATAAATAAATAGATAAATAGTATTTAGTTTTAGATGGCTGATTGTTCGTATAAGTCGGAACAGCTCATATAATTGTCGTCATTATTTTAGTCTCAAAGCGATTTGCGGCTTGAGTGGACATATGAATTATGTATGAACTTATTATGAATTTATTAATTTGGATCGAGAGTTGAAGATTTAAAATTTCGGATAACAATTATAATTTTACTGTTTCTTGGACACGAATGAGAGGAAGCATTTTAAAAAGTATTTAGAATTAGATTCAATATTATCAAAATAAAATCTACAAGAACTTTATAAACATCTAATGGTACATGTTATTATATAATATAATCTGATCTCAAAAATAAATCTTTTTAGGTCGAACAAGTATTAACACAATTAACCAAAGAATTTCATTTTAAGAAATCTAGTCTTTCGATTTGCAGGTTTTTCAGTTTGTATACTACAGAAAAACCTAATATCACTAATTTAACAACCATTATAATGCCAAATTTCATTTCGAAAGTATAGTTTTATCTAAAAAGTAGAATCAGTGCAGGAGGAATCTCCCAATTATACGATCCGGAAAATTACTTTCCCAGAAAAGGACGTTTTGTAAACGAACGATTTGATATTCTTGGTAATGAACACATCATAATATCTATCAATGCTTGATACTGTAAGAGCTGACGGATCCAATATCGCTACGAGTTATCTTAACATGGATCCGTGAATTAAACTGGCATGTACACTTTACATATAATACAATGTGGTTGAATTCCCAGATTCTAACACGAATATGAGAATTGTGGGTATGAGTAGTGAGTACAGCCAGCTGAGATTAATATAATGTGCTGAGTGAGCTTTAACGTCTTACGTTATTATAGTGTTAAAATTTTAGCTAAACGTCGGAACAAATAGTGTAAATTTGCTTATTATGTAGTTTGAGCATATTGTGTGGGTAATTAGTATTAGTATACCATCTGTAGCATGGCTCGAAGAAGTGCACGAACTTAATAATGTTGGAAAGGAAAATAATTAAATTTCCCAAATTTTGTCCACGACTATAATATATTGTTGTTATGGATATCCACTATCCAAGGATAGGAAAAGCTCATTTGGAATGTAATGCTCGAGCTCAATCATTGTCATTCGTCAATCGGTTGATCAAGTCTGCACTGGCAAAGAAATCTAGCAAATTGATTGTCTTCCACCATCTCAGAGTGATTTTTCTCTTGATACTTCTTTTCGTTCCACGGCTGGATTAGCATTGAATAAAGTATGTACGGAATACACATTGGAAAGAGGAAGGGCATTCCGTCACCCTCATTCGACCCACCACTGTAGTCAATTATACACTCAAACTGAGAAAACCGCCAGTCTGCGTATTTGTCAGCAGTTACTTTGCTGTAGACGTCAACTATGATGGCGATCACCAGGTTCATGCACAACAGACCCAGGATGATTGCGTAGAGCACAAGCAGGATGACTATAAAGACGGTGGTCAAGGTATCACGTGATCTATGTAAGTTAGATCTGTGCTCGACGTCCAATCCTCCAAACATTGTCCACACCAGTGTTACAAGCGCTTTACCGAAAGTTGCAAAGTAGTAAAAATCATTTTCATCATCAGCTCCAACTCCGTCAATACCATGGACTACTCGGTAGCAAGTCATCATGCCTACGATGGGAATAAGGAAGCCTGCTATGACGAACAGATAGATGAAGACCAATCCAGATACCTCGACAAATGTTCTTTTAGCTGACAATATCAAGGGACCCAAACCAGGAATATGGATTGTGTAGACCTGGAGCAGATGAACTAGAGCTACCACAGCCCCAGTGCAGTAGAAATAGATGGTGAATATAAGCTCGTGATGCACTAATTCAGCGAAGGAATCACGGTTAGTACTGTTGGATGCATTACGGTTCATGTCAGAAGGATCAGGGTCCAGAACAAGATGGTCAATACTGACGTATACTCCAAACATCCACGACTTCAGGAATGTGTAGAGTTTAGATATCATACTAGTTAGAAGCAATATAATGAGAAAAATGTCTGTGATATTGTAAAAACTCTTGAAGTACCTGTTCAATTTTTTCTGCAATGTTTTTCCTTTCTTAGAATAGGCTTGGTACAACTCTGATAGAACCCTTGCAAAAATGCAAGTCCATAACAGCCACTCTGAAAAGGGGATCTTTGGATTTGGAAGCCTCATCATGACACTTCCATCTGCCCCAACTTTGAAATTGGTGTCATTCTCAGCTTTTATTTCGCCCTCGATTAGTTTTTGTACGAGTTCATGAGCTACTTTGGGGTCAGGTTCAGTATACATAATTACAACCAAGAGGAATGTAATTAACATACTGTAGTTCAAGAGGTCAGCTAGGTAGGAGGAAAAGGGGGAGAAGAAAATAGCTCGTCTTTTCCTACTTATTCTGTCATCTCTTGTGAAAATGGCAGCGGGAATATAGAATATATTCCAGAAAAGGAAAATAGCAATCCTTTTAGCGACGTAAAATGTTTGGGTCAAGTTTCCACTTCGAGCCTTCTTTTTCATTATAGCTTCAGATCCCCAAAACTTCTTCCATACCACTTTCTGATATATTTTGGAGGCCACGAGCTCCACATTTTTGGATTGAAGTACATCTTGGAACATTGTGTCATCGTCTAATCTCATAAGTTTGATGACTTCAATAGGTGTGACACAGACTTCCATCAAAGACAAAGCAAACTTTTTGGGAATCAGTTCCAACTTTTCAATGCTCCGATCATATATCGAGTTGTTATCGTTCTCAATCTTGGCATACTCAAGTAGACGACTTTGTAGTCGCAGAGCAGTCCTCATGGGGTCTCTACGTTGCATCAGAGCTTTTCTTGTCACAACCTTTTCCAGCAGAAGAATTGGGGAGTAAACATCTTGACCGCTGTAGGGCGAGCTATTAACGATTGCTTCCAGCAAACCTACAACATACTCCAAATAGTGATCGTCTTCAGTGAACTCATTCACGTGGCCCGAGTAAGAGTTTATCCAAGCTACAGGATCTTTCAGATAAGACAGCCTCGTTCCTGCGGCAGGAACACAAAACTCAGCGTCTTTTGGGGGGTTGAGAAGTTCTCTGATAGTTGTGTTATCATATTCTGCTCTGTCTGCAAAGCTCAATATGTTCATATCATGGGAGGGTGACGACCAGGCTGTGTTTGAAGAGGGAGTGTATAATAATACCATTAATTTGCAACTGTAAGATATCAACATAAGCTAAATTAATTGATCAATGCACATAGCCGTGTTACAAAACATCAAACTTTTCATTACGATAATGACGCAACAAATCCTCAAGCTTATAATGGGATAAGTGCAAGAACAAAGAATATAATAGGATGGGTAATAACACTCGTCGATAATCTAATAAGTCATTTTGAAATGTTCATATCGAAATATAAGCGTGTCTTAGAAAAATGAACAGTAAATACCACTTCCAATAGAAAAATGGACATAAAACAACACGTCCAATAAGTTGCAACTGAAGCACAGCTTCATCACTTCAATAACTCTTATTATACAGAACTGCAATGGCCTATGAGCATGACTTATCGAAGACCTATAGCTATGTTTAAAACTATATTTAAAACTTCAAAAAGTTTTAAATACAGGTCTTAAGTTCTGAACTGGAACAACATCAACATAAAAAACCCGCTGTTCGTTACTCGGGTACAACTGTTCTAGACTCAACAACGTTGCTTAATTGTACTCAAATTAGTGGCTCGTTAACAGCCTTTAACTTTGACTCACTCCAGCACACCTTATCATGGAATGGAAGGAATTTGCCGTGGGAAATAATATGAACATAAGCTTTTACTCGAATATTTACAGAGGTGCTACTATTTACTACCACTATTATAACTACTACATCTATTGTGACTCAATGTGTTGACGACTTGAACGTTAATGTTTTATCAGTGAAGCGGGCAAACTGAAATTTTGAAAAAGTAATCGAATATACTAGATTGAATGTAAAGAACAAAAACCTTAAATCAGTAAGAGTGTGATATGAGGTAATTTCACGACGTAACACCTGCCCTTTGTTGATAGACATTAGACAATTTTCAATGAAATCTGCAAAAACCATTATTTGTAGGTAGCAGGTACAGTTATCGTATTGACATAGAAACAAGACGCCAGCCTGACATTAAAAAGTAAAATATGAAGAGCTCTTGATACTCTACAGAAAATAAACCAACACTCGCAAATACCATCTTCAACATGAGCTGTCCAGCTTTCACAAATTAATAATCTGCTTAATAAAAGAGAGCGGTAAGATGTCGTCACATATTATGCTGAGCGGATCTCTCAAGCCAGATTTAAAGGTTTACCTTCTGCTATTATACTCTTCTTGGATCAGAATTTACGTTTCATAATATGATATTATATCTGGTAAAGATTGCATTATGAGATTACAATGCGTATATTACGCCGTTAGTTCTAGAGCTCTTGTCTTATTTCAATTTTTAGTTAGACTCTCTCAAGATCTTTCACTAGAGAAGATTACAAGTCTAAAATCCACTAGTCCTTGACAATAAGCATTAATTAGCATTACTAGACCCAAATTATGTTTTAAATCGCTGTAAAAATGTTTATCTAGTACGAGAACAATCTGCAAGCATCAGGATAAATTTTAAAGGAACACTCAAACAGATGCATCTGTGATGAAGGAACACTCAAACAGATGCATCTGTGATTATGGACTGATCGCTATGTGGTCTAACCTCGACCCGTGACCGGCATGGTTAAAGAAGTTCCCTTCCCGTGCGGCCGTGCCTGGTGGGGTAAATGGTTTGCCAGCACGAGACGGAAATTGAACCAATAATCTTGTCTCTAACACAGGACTCTGGAGTGACTGGCTTAATTAGTGAGCAACTTGGTTTATATTATGCCCTGTTATCACTCATTTACCTACAGACACGTTTTTGGCTCCGACCAGCAAATGAGCATAAAGTAGAGTCTGATTAATTAAAACTTTTATTTGACCGCAACTAAGATAATACAATATTAGATGCATAATATAATAATAAATTGAAAGTTGAGGACGGAAATTTAAATCTGGTTCCAATGTGGCCTTAGCTTGTGCGAGATCATTACATCAGTGCCTTTCAGAATACTTTAAGACTCTTTGATGTTTACAAGCCGACATGACTATGAAGGACTATGCTAATTGTCCGGAGTATTTCCATCCGGGACATCCAGTATGTCGACTAAATTACAACTTAATTGGAAAATTGCTACTCATTGCATCTGTCATTACAATATCTGGTCTAAAATAAATCTGATGTTATACAAAAACGCTTGAATCCCTCTTTGGTCACATCAAGTTTATCCCATGTAGTCTCTGCAGTTGACAAATCATATTCCAGCAGGAGTATCAATTAAACAATGAAAACACTTTGTAGTACCGAGCTTCACAACCAATTAGGAGTATAATTCAGCTGTATCAGGCCTCCGACTCCAGTTTGTGTCCCAGATACCACCCATAACAGTTCAAACCACACGTGACAGAGAAGAAGAAAACAGGGATGATTATCATGAGGCAGAGGACTTTAACTGTGGCTCCCTCGTTTACAGGATCCACCTGGAGGACGCACAGCGGTTATCACAGCGATTAAAATATATAACTCACTGTTTACAGCAGTCACATACAGCAGTCAAATATTTATTAATCTTACAAAAGCTGAATTTATTACTTCGGCTAATGATATCTGTGAAGATTTCATTGTCAAAAGAAATGTATCCGATCGGTCCATTGTTTTCTCAATTTCATTGGCATTTTCAACATTGAGAAAGTAAAATAAATTGCATATTTATCTTACCGCTGTGTATATGACCATTGTCAAAACTCCCGTTACAAAGGCGATCCCTGAGGACATAAAACCAGTTAAGCAACGAGATAATCAACATTTAATTAAGTTTAATAATTTGATAAACATTATCAAATAAATCCAGGCTATTTTATTAATTGCAAATATCCAATTATGCCATCACAAGATTTCAATATGGTAACACTGGTCAGTGACAATAAAAACATCGCAGTCTATTATCCATCATGAAAATAGCAACACCTGAAAATTAAAAGGACCAACCTAAAAATATAAAAAGTAAAATGACAGAGTGAGGTCCTGGAAGATCCATGTAGTCTTCGCAAGTGGTTTTCTCCTGTTCCCTCTGGAAACGAACGATGGTAGGTTTAGCTGTGTCTGATTGTATTTGCATCTCCTTCGAAACTTCACTCACCTGGTAAGATTGTTAAGATCAGTGTTTAGAAACACCTCTCAATATTCTTTCAAGAAAAGTTCTTATTTTTTCTGAATAGACTCAGCGATGTAATCAAATTACAGCTATCAAGATTCACATTAAAAATGTGACAAAATATAAATATGTAAATACAGCAAATATGAACATAAAACTGATAAGGTGTGTCAAATATGACTCAGCTGTAAAATGGCAAAAAATAACAGTTTTATGTGAACATATTTGCTCCGGTTTCGTTAAACTATTTTGCGGTTATATTATTATACGCATACTTTGTTTGAAATAAAATCATAAAATGAGTCTTAATAACACTAAACGACTTAATCACATCTAAATATTATATTCTTTGACTATCTAGAAAACATCTCTCCACATAATAATAATAACCCTTGAACTAAACGATCAGGTTATTGCAAATAGTAAAAATGGTTGCTACGTCTTCAAGCTTCACTCACGTTATCCTCTGGGATGACTACAGTATGTGAGGGGAACTGCATCTCTATTTCAGATTGCTGACGCTCGTGCACGGAGGAAGGGTCGTTATAAAGGTTTGTTTCTTGTGATGAACCGTTTGATGGTCGCGTTTGAACCCTCACCTGAATGAAATCCCATATAACAATTTTACACAATCACACCAGGATCATTACTAACACGTCATATTACACAACGTTAACATGCAGCAGTCGTTAACAACAAACTATCATATAACTTCTATCTATCTGTCTATAATGCTATTGCTATGTTTCAAGAACTACCCTCTAGTTATACAACAGTTTAGCCTCCTAACCTGTGTGGGTGTGTCAATGTATCTCTCTTCGCTACTCATGTTGAGATACACCATAGAAGTGGCAGTGTCTCCATTGTGGTTGGCGTGCGGTTCCTCCGATCCCGAACCTGAACCTGATCTGGTGTTAGTTCTGGGTCTTCTCCCTGTCATTCTGGGTCTGTCTGGGGGTTGCTGTCTTGATGCACTCGGATGAACATGCAACTCATTACCACCTGAAGTGATCGACTCTAGTAAATTTGGGGAATGGAATAACACGATCTAACCTTACATTTTATTCAATGCTTTTTATGGACTTGTGAATAAAACATGGATTTGCAATTTCAAAATACAGGCTGAGAACAACGATCACACTTTTTTGAACTAATTTTATCGAAACTGCTTCATAAACTCATTAATTATATGTGATACAAGAGGAAGTCCGCTGTAATCATGTGATTTAGGCCCCTTTCTTTGGAGAGAAAATGATACAATTTGAGATCATTCTGTCCCCTGAGTCAATAAGAGAATAGTTTCTAATAGTTTTGTTCGACTAGAATGTAAAATGCAAGTTTACAGCAATATGTCCACGTGAAGCTCACAAACATCTGATATAAACAAAACATAAAGCACAGTCAAAACACAACAAACAATTGTTACTTATGCCATAGAACTGATCTTCGATAGGCATTGTTGAGCCTTTCATCTGTATAGTAAAAAAATTTCAATACCGACTAATTCAGAAGAAATCAAATTAAGAAAATCAAATTAAGAAATCATATATCTCTCAACAGAACCTATTTTCAACTTATGTTAGATTAATTAGTTGCAACAAACCTTCAGCTTGGGCCGCTGTTGTATTCTTGAAAACGTTTGATATAATAAGGATATCTTTCTCTTCAAGCTTGTTCACGATATGAGATGCATCATCTACATTTTGAGCCATAAAATCAGCAGGAGTCCATGAAATTCTTCCCTGAACAATATCTAGGAAGTGAGTGAGATGAACTTGAGCACAAGGCAAATTATCATTTAACTGAATATAATGGAAACAATACGAGGTTATAATTGGGTACACTGACATCACAGCACTAACCAGGTCAGGGGAAGGGAGCCGAAGAAAAAGGAGGAAGTACTGAGAAACATAAATGATTTAAAAAGGGAAAATTAAACTAGAGAAATGGGGCAATGGGAGAGATAAAACAGGGGGGGGTTTGAGCTGGACAGATAGGAGGGCTGGTCGTTGAGAAAAGGAAAAAAAATTCTATACAGTTACATAATTGAAACAATTATGGCCCCTTATTGTGGCCCCAGAGTATGTGTTTTTGTTGGGGTGTTGAGAATCCTCAACTAAACTAAAGATAATGACGTCCAGAAGATGAGAAGAAAAGGTATGCTAGACATGAAAATAATAATAATAATTATAATAATTCTATACAGTTACATAATTGAAACAATTATGGCCCCTTATTGTGGGCAGAATATGTGTCTTTGTTGAAGTGTCCTGATATAAACTTATCTGATTGACTGCATTAAAATAATTTAAGGAGAGTTCTCTTAAAACTTTAAGACAATAGGAATAAATACTAGGACCTAATAAAATCAAAACAAAATGCAGCCACCTAATTTGTTTTTCTCTTCTCTACGATGACTAGAGGAACCATCTTTGGCGAGTATTAGGGACTTAGACCATTACAAATACCGTGCTGTAAATTTGCAAGGCATGTGGACTAAGTGAGTCGAGAGTACTCGACTTGAAAGTGGGTGTTGAGAATCCTCGACTAAACTAAAGTGAGCAGTAGAGGCTGAAGGAGAAGAAATGTCACAAGGAGATGGTAGAGAGAGATGGGTAGAGAAAAATGGGAGAGGAGATGGGTAGAGAGAGATCAGAGATGGGTGGAGTGAGTAGAAGAGGCTGACGGAGAAGAAATGTCACAAAGAGATGGGTAGAGCGAGCACTGTAATAATCATCTTTATGATACCCTATGATAGTTCACCAATGGCAAATTGTGCTAGAGAGCAGAAGGCAGTGATGCTGTTATCACTATCATCTCTTAAGATAGACCAGCATGGTTGGTCACTAGAGGAATGCTCCTGCAGGGTTTTCCTGTATGAACAGCTACACAGTGGACAAGAGAAGATTCTGTGATAATTTTTGTCCAATACCTGACAATTTAGACACTGAGGGTCACAGTTGCTGGCCAGTGGCCACCCTTGCCTTCATTGCATACTTTACCGGTAGAGTCTAAATTGAATAGTTTGAGATTCCCATTACATTTTATATTTATGCATGTGCCCGGCCCAGGGGGATGAATTTCTTATTACCATTGATATTATATATATTTTTTGAGTAAACATTGGCTTGTACCACGGGCCAGTCCCCAACAAAAAAAATTGACATGAAAAAGCACAGCAGGAGCAGTGGCGTAACGTTGCCTGTTGGCGCCCCCCTGCCGAAAAGGCGCCCCCCTGTTGGCGCCCCCTCCCCTTTTGGTGCCCCTCCCTAAAATTGAACAAATTAGGTGATTTTAGAGGATAAACCGGTAAAAATTTCTAAAAAAGTGTGTATCTAGAGCAAAACGCGCAGTTTTGCTAGTACTTTAGTTAAGTTTTCGAAATTGTCCCACATTCAAACGACGATTTGGCGCCCCCCTAAGACAGCGCCCCCCTGCACAGCGGGGTCAGCGGGGCCCTTCGTTACGCCACTGAGCAGGAGGAAGGGATTCTGGGCCAGAAAGCATAGATTTAGTTGGAGAAATTGGAGAGTGAAAATAGGAAATAAACAAAATTTAAAGCTCCAGCTCAGTGTTGAACTGAAAAGGAAAGCCCAAAAATTGAGATCAAAATTAGGAATCAGGGGATCGGACAAAAAGGCAGAAAACCCCAAGACTATAACAGGTGACCAAGCTCGGCTTGACGTATCTGCTAGAGGAGTTTGGACTCCATTTGATAAGACCTTTCTTGACATAAGGGTGTCACACCCCAACTGCTTATCAAACAGGACCAAAACTCTTCAAGAAGTATACGAAGCAAGGGTCGAATGAGTCCTCGGCCTCGGCCTCGGTTTTACCGAGGAATGGCGATTTTTCCTCGGCCTCGGCCTCGGTCAGGAGGACAATTCCTCGGTTCGCCTCCGCCTTGGTCAAAAATAGATTCGAAATTCCTCGGCCTCGGCGAAATTTGACGATTTGACCGAGGATTTGACCGAGGATTTTTGTTGAAATTTTGGGAATTTTTCTACAGACTTACAGAGGTTAATGTAAACGAATTTGTAAAATTTCACTGAGAACGAAAAGGAGAAGAAGGATGAGTACTTGGAGAGAGTGTTGAACGTAGAGAAGGCCACTTTCACCCCAGCCGTATTTCTCAAAACTGGAGGCATGTCCAAAGAATGTAAGTGGTTTCTAAATAGAGTGGCAGACCTCATCGCCAGGAAAAGAAAAGAGAGGTATTGCGATTTGGTAAGACATGTAAGGACAAGAATAAGATTCGCTATGTTAAGAACCACACTCATAGCTCTACGAGGGCACAGAGGAAAAAAATGGACAGCAAATATGAGACACCACTATCAGAAGTCCCTTATAACCTCATGCCTGCCCCTATGATGGAGTAGATGTGTATATATCTGATTGTTGATATTTCATATTATATAATATTGGTAGCAGTGGACAATTTCCGTTACACGTTACCTCTGTATTGTGCTCTGCCAATTTGCAATTGCAACACTTGAATTACTTTATTGTATATTATATACTGTTTGACAAAAGGCAGAAAAAGAAATGTACTAAAAAAACAGTTTTTTTTAAGTTTTTTAAAAGAAAAACAATTGTCAATGTATTTTATTTTAATTACATGTAAATGTAAATAATCTAAAAAACAAATATTGGACATCATAGTATTCGGATCACCTCCACTCATCAGCTTTATTATGTTGTTTCTGATATGCAAAATACATATATACACAGAACAAAATTAGAAAGATTTAGGACCAGATTTATTATATATGTTATTTGATTGATGATGTCAATCCTTCGCATCTCGCCGATCTGTGGTTGCGAGAAGCGTTATTGGATGCGCGCGCGACCCAGTAGTGCATCGCGCTACAAATATGTTATATATTAAATGGAAGTTTTTGAGAAAATTGTGATGGTTTTATATTGGAGGACTTCGCCGCTTCGACGCGCCGCGCAAACTAGCATTCTTGCTTCGCATCGTCGATCGTTGCTTTGCTTTGCAGAGCAACGATTTCGATCATCGATGGGTTGACACCGTCAATCAAGGTTTTATAGTACACTACAATGTAGTTGTATTGACAGGGAATGCTGGGTAGACCTCCAATCATGGCTTCCCGATCGTTCAGCTGAGTTAGGAAAAGGCAATTTTGCACGGATACGATGTGTAATATTAAATAGATTCAACAGAATTCGTAAATCACGGCCCTAATATAGACTAGACGACACTGTAATGTAAAACCAAACCTTTTAGTAAAGTTAATGGAACAAAATTAAAAAGATGTTTGTTTGGGGACCAGTTTTTGGCATTTGGATTTATTTCACTTCGTTGTAGCGCGATGCGTTACTAAATTACTGTGCCGCGCCGCGCATTCAATGAGGCTTCTCACAGCTAGATCGGCAAAATGCGCAATTGTGCCGCGCCGAGCTGCGATGAATTGACATCGTCAATTAACTCACTTTGGAGTTATATAATATAGCGTGCGTCTTTTTAAATTACCTTTATCTTTGTGGTCGGTCATTGGTCAATGGAAAATGGTACTTTTTTATATTTTTCTGAAAATTTTTCCTGCGCGGCGCAAATTGCGTTTGCCGTTTGATCGCCGTTGCAGAAAGATTTCCCGAGCGAGCGCCGCGCCATGCAGGACGTTACAATTTATAGTGCTGGAGTTTAGCAACCCCACTATTCATTAAGATACTATACTAAACTAGTTTATCTCTGTGTATATTTTAAATGTTGCAATGTTGAATGTTATACTGGTTAGGTGGGCTGCTAAGTGCTGCGCTCTTCGCGTAAAATAATGTTTCATGTCGCTACATACAAAATCGTATAACCATATTATATGTGCGTAGTGGAGAATTCTTTTAAAAAACCCAACCCTATGTCCCTATGTATGCGGCGTGCTACAATTTCCTCTCACTCAGATCAGTTTGCAGTTATGATTATTTTTAATTTGTAATCTGATCAGTGATCATCAATTTATTTTTCATGTCATGCATCTAATCATTAAAAAGAGCATTGGAATAAGTGTGGACGGTTGCCCGACCCCATCAACAGTCCAGTTTTTATTTATATTTTTAAACAAGTTACGATTTGTACTCCAATTTGAGATTACCAAGCCATTTAATTGGGACTGAAATCAATTCTATCTACAATCATAACAAATTGTGCATTGTAGGTTTATAACTTTGAGTTTGTCTAACCATGCTTTATCATATACCATCTGAATAGTATGATTGGGTGTATAGTAGTGCATGATAAGCCTCTGTAAAGTGGGTAAATTTCAGACCTCTAGTTAAGTTGAAAAGGGTGTGAAAGTCTTGTGAAGATTTTAAAATATTATCTAATATCTTTCTGGCTAATTTAAAATATTTTATGATTTCGGCTTGTACTTGCTCCAAAGGCCAAAACCTTTTGATGCTGAACCTGTAAAACCACATTATTTGATTCCAGCATGCCACAAAATAAGTGCTGATCTGACTAACAAATTGATGAAATCAATCAATTGACTAGGTCCTGCTGTGGTGGTGGTGGTGATGGGCTAGGCGTCTAAGGGTCCCTCAAGCAAGGTCTTCTTAGCAAACGCCAGGATTTCTATCGGGTTGGTGGTTAGTATGTCCAAGTTTAAGTCAGATTTTCCGAAGATTTCTTCTCTCGTCCTGATCGTTGCAGGGCACCGAATCCAGTGTGGTACCGTTTCTTCTTCTTCTCCGCAACGGGGACAAGTTGCACTCTTTGTAAAGTCGATCCTATTTTTGTAGTGGGACAGGTGAAGGCAATGGCCTGCTCTGAGTTGTGCTAGCAGCGCTCCGTCTTTCCTGCTCTCTATTTTACTGTCCGCTCTTTTTCTGTTGTATCCCTTGTAAGTCTGGGAGACCAGGTGGTGTTGGGGGTCGCTATCCTTGATGTGAGCCTTTGCTACTGCTCTGGCAACTCCGTATGAGATTGTAGACTGTCCTTGGCCCAGGTCCGGGAGTTGTGCTGCTTCCTTTGCTGCTTTGTCAGCGTATTCGTTCCCAGGAATGTTGGAGTGGCCGGGAATCCAGTGCAGGTACGTTGTCCCATGGAGTGATTCCAGAGTTTTCCTGATATCCTGAGTGTCTGGGTTCAGGCTATCGATGCTAGTCAGTAATGCCTGGCTATCAGAGCATATGATGGTGTCATCATACTTCTGGTTCTCTGTCATCCATTTCAGGGCTTCCGTAAGTGCAGTTTTCTCCTCACCATAGGAGCAGGTGAACTTATTTCCCTTCTTTTTGATGGTCTCCAGTATAACGGGGTTAGCTGCTGACCCTGTGGTCCTGCTGTGCATCTGCTGGATCACATCACCGTCATGCAACGCCTGATATTTTATAAATGAATGAGAGCTCTGCAACGTTTGGAGTCGATTCTGTTTCAGATTCTGTTTTAGATTCTGTTTCAGATTCTGAATAGAATGCATTAAATTTAAGTGGACATGTGATCAGCAGCAGCTCTAAAATCCCTTGATAAGCTCTTAAATTCTTGGAGAATCATATCACATAGGTTAAAGCTGGGGTAATTAATATCAAAGGTCACTACATAATATCAGTTAGCTTTCTCGGCTGCTTGTCTTAAATGTACTTGAAAGTTTCTTTCAAAGTCTGTCCAAAAATTGTATGGGTCCAGTTTGGTATTCCTTCTTTTTCTGCTTGGCTAAATTAGTATTTTTGTTGTTGATAAATCTAGCTCTAGTTTCATTTCGATTCATTGCGAGTTGGGTGTTGCAACGTCATTGACAAGAAAACATGGGCTAAGTTTAAGAAAATGAATTTAACTTAGTGCTTTGTGTGAGTTCATTACTTATTTGACATAGTTTGTTGCTTGCCTTTTCACAGTTCAAACATATTTTTGTGACATAAAATCATAACATCATTGTGTTGACCCATATAATTTACACTGCATAGAGAAAAGATAGTTTATATTTGGATTTTTTGTGGTTGACTTGGATCTCTAATTACTTTAAAATGTATGCATAATCATTTTATCTAAAAGCTGTTCACAACATTTAAATTTTTTTAATGGAGCAGCAAACAAATAAGTGGGGGAGTAAAATGTCGTGTTAACAAATGGCTCAGGCAGGATTCCTTCTGCTTTGATTTCTTGTTCCTTTATTTCCAAACAACATACCTTGGTGAATGCTTAAGCTTACTAATGTCTGAGTGGATGGGCATCTTCATGGAAAAAGTAGGGCAGATTGTTTTCCGGGTGGGGGGGGGGGGGGGGGGGGGGTGTTTCCTTATCAGGTTATGAACAAAAGAGAAACAATTTTTTAGAGAAACAAAAACAAAACAAAAATTCAAAAAATTTCTTGTAGCTCGGATTATCAAGACGTATTGCATTTAAGGGCTCATGATCGTGTGTTGACAAACACCTTTGAATCTCTTCAATACTTGTTTCTTTTAGAATTTAGATCATCATACTTCATCATATATTTGACATTCGCATCTGAAATCTTGGAATTCCAATTGATTTTTTCCTCATGACAATTATGCACCCAAAATAATATATCATCACTATATTTAATTGTATCCATAATGTTATTCGTTCAAACAAAAGTAAATGTGTCTCTTGAAAATAGGGAATGTTTGCTAAGTTTACTATCATCTTATTTCCAATTCTAATGTTGGAATTCCAGAACTGTTATTTCCTCATGAAACTGTGCACCTGAAACGATATGGAATCGCCAACATTATTGTCACCATAATTCTATCATTATAACAGGAACATTAATCAGCTATTTGATATAGGAGATGTTTGCCATTTGGGTACTCCTGATATACCTACACTTTGCAAGGAGCTGTCCGTCTGAGTGCGAGTGTGAGACTGATTTCGACTACGAAGATGGGGTCTTGGTTAATTGCGAGAACCTCGGTTTGGACACTATCCCTTTTGATATGCCATCCCATGTGTCTACTCTGTAAGTTTTTTCGGATGATATTAAACTTGCTGACTTTTTTGTTGTTGCTATCGTTTCTATTTATGTCCTCAGATTCAGAATATTTATCTGTTAATCTTAGTCTATCAGTTGACTGACTATGATAAATGATACCTCACTGTTAAAATGTTGTTAAGCCCATGCTGTCTCCACTGAGCCGTGTTACAATTTAGTCCAAACTTCCTCAAGCCATACTAAGCAGCATATAGTATAGTAGCCGGTAATTCGTCTAACTACTATTCAGTACACTGTTGACCGTTTTGAAAAATGTAATAACATTACATGTTCAAAATACAGACCGAGACGATTGTTAACAATTAGTCACCTCAGTCCGCACAGAACTAGTGGCCAAACATGGCATTGATTCTTCGTCCATTATAATAATTTTCTCTTCTCTGCACAATGGATACAATGTAATTCGATAATGTCAGTAATGCAACAATTACTGGCCGATAACTCTGATACCTCATGTTTAACCAACTGTAACAGTGGGTTTCATAGTAAGTTATCCATCTAACTGCACATTGTGAATCATGGTGACAACTTCTTTTCGTTGACAGCCTCAATACTGTTAAAATCAGTATTGAAAACTAAATTTTACAACAATTGTCTCCTCTGCACAATTGATACAATGTAGTTCATAAGTTGGTCCTATAGCCTTATAGCAAGTAGAATATATCGCTACATATTCTGAATTATGATGCTATCTTTGTCTTTGACAGCCTCAGCTATTGAAATACTGTGTTAAAACCTAAATTTTCATCATCCAACGTACATTGTCAAGCAATCTTTAAGTTCTAATTAAATTGAGAAGTAGGCGCAAATATATCTATCTAATCACTTGAATTGATAATTAATAAAGTCTTAAAAAGTGGCGTGCCAAGTAGTGAGTGGTGAAGTAGCAAGCAAGTAGAATCAACCATCGATTAGCGCTTGTTCAATAAATGAGCTTCTAGGACCAGGACATTGTTGTCCGATGACTGCATCTTGTCGTGTCCAATCATCTCATTACGAGGATTGTCAGTCGTTCCGTCACAGTCCCGAGCCAGGTCTAAATTACCCAGATCTACTGACAGTTCTTACGTGAGGAGTCTGTTATTGATAAACCTGATTAGAGAGATCCCCAGGGAGGGAGAGAGAGAGTTTGTTGGGTGGTTGTTGACATGATCAACACTAGCTGGACACTAGTTCTTATCTGAACTAGTGTCCACCTTTGTGACATGCTAAACACAGTGGTCAGTGGCTACCATCCACGCAGGGTAATGAAATTGGTTTCTGTGGATCTGCTCGTATCAGCGGATCTATGTTTGATTGATATCGGTGCGGGTACTGCATACTACATAGCCATGTATATATTGGATACAATGCACCATATCACCCAGTTTTAGCACCTGACATCACACAGAGAAACCAGGGAGAGTCATCTTCTTCAGAAAACCTGTATCTTCTTCAGAAAGCTTAAGTAGCAACTAGCATATTTCTAAACGTAAGAGATCGTGACCCAGTGAACAGATTGGTCATTAATTCACCCCAAAGAAGGGTTAACAGGTAATAGCTGGGTTAGTACTGACACAGACAAAAGAGAGCTCATTAGCTGAACCCCCTCCAGTCCCTCAATATCTACCAAAGTTCACACTTGATATGTGCAATATTAATGTGCTGATTGTCGGCTACTAATTTGATTGCTGCCTTTCTTCGCAGTATTTTGTTGAATTGCTACTACAGTGGGTATGCCACCGACATATTCTCTGATTATAGACCGCACTGCTAGCTTATCTTGCTTGATGAGAGTCTCAGGATTGATCATTATATATATATGCTGTGTCGTAGACAAAAAATATGGGCTTGCTAAGTCTAGCATTATTCAAATACTTTAGCGCATGGTCGTCTATTCGGGTTGAGCCAGTTGAATATATGTAGTCCAACGAAAGTCTATAATAAGACTTAACTACTCTTCAATTTAACTAAACTATCTTAAGCTATAGACAACTAATCGCCACAGTTTACTGTAATAGAAAATGTTTCATTTTAATGTGCTCACCTTGTGTACTGTGCGAGGAATGTTATTTGGTTATTTGAAGAATGATAATAGTTGGCGGGAGGTCTAGGAGGAGGATGTGGTGAAATACCGGCTAAGTGAGATAATGTACTGGTACAGTATGTGTCGGGTGATGGGTACTGACACTTCACTCCCCATTTCTCTAATTAGTCCCGACAAATCTATTTTAATTGACAAAGCAGCTGTGTAACCCATGACTTTATCCGTATCGTCAGGTTCTTGCGCTGCTTCCCAAATATCAAGTTCTTTGAAGTTTGGACAGCACAATTAGGCGACAAAACACCACCTTTTCCCAAATGAAATCAGTAGTTGTAGATAAACTCTTAATAATTGTAAATGAGTTTGAGGTTTTTTGACAGACCATACGACAGATTGATCGAATTCTTTGGAATTATAAAAACCAAATTTCCCCCAAAACCGTATGATCTGTTGTAATATGACTTAACACCGGGAGACTAGTAGACTCAAAGATGATTATTTTCAAAATTATAATTAAATGACTGTAACTGCGCTAAGTCCTCCGCAATACGTGTCATAAGTCAATTAACTCAATTCCTGTTTTTTGACCTCATGGAAAAAATAGCCCGAAAAGTTGGCGCTAATTCAACTATTCTTTTCCGTAGAGCCTTCAGGGTATTCAAGCACTCGTCTGCAATGTAAAGCAAATTTTCGGCAATTGCCGGAATTGCAATAACTGTGGTTAGGTCAATAAAGATACTAGCTAGAAAAATCTGAGAAGGATTGTAATGTAAGAGGGATTGCTGATAAATCAGTTCCAATAGACTCATTAGTCCAAACGTTTATCCTAACGACTCGTCCAAATAACTCCCAAATAACTCCCATTTGATAGTCTACTAAATTCACTATAGTATCATGATTCATGATATGGTATAGGCTCGTAATTATGGGACGTTTCCAGCTCCCAGACCCAGCCTGATCACATGCTGTTGTCGGGAAGACTCAGCCTGATACCCAGCCTGCTTTAGTGAGAGAAACCCAGCCTGGTTTTAGGCAGCAGTCTGAGAGTCCTGGAGCAGCGTACCACACTGTTAATACCATTCTCCGCCTGGTTTTAGGCAGCAGTCAGAGAGTCCTGGAGCAGCGTACCACAATGTTAATACCATTCTCCGCCTGGTTTTAGGCAGCAGTCAGAGAGTCCTGGAGCAGCGTACCACACTGTTAATACCATTCTCCACCTGGTTTTAGGCAGCGGTCAGAGAGTCCTGGAGCAGCGTACCACACTGTTACTACCATTCTCCGCCTGGTTTTAGGCAGCAGTCAGAGAGTCCTGGAGCAGCGTACCACACTGTTACTACCATTCTCCGCCTGGTTTTAGGCAGCAGTCAGAGAGTCCTGGAGCAGCGTACCACACTGTTACTACCATTCTCCGCCTGGTTTTAGGCAGCAGTCAGAGAGTCCTGGAGCAGCGTACCACACTGTTAATACCATTCTCCGCCTGGTTTTAGGCAGCAGTCAGAGAGTCCTGGAGCAGCGTACCACACTGTTAATACCATTCTCCGCCTGGTTTTAGGCAGCGGTCAGAGCGTCCTGGAGCAGCGTACCACACTGTTAATACCATTCTCCGCCTGGTTTTAGGCAGCAGTCAGAGAGTCCTGGAGCAGCGTACCACACTGTTAATACCATTCTCCGCCTGGTTTTAGGCAGCGGTCAGAGAGTCCTGGAGCAGCGTACCACACTGTTACTACCATTCTCCGCCTGGTTTTAGGCAGCAGTCAGAGAGTCCTGGAGCAGCGTACCACACTGTTACTACCATTCTCCGCCTGGTTTTAGGCAGCAGTCTGAGAGTCCTGGAGCAGTGTACCACACTGTTAATACCATTCTCCGCCTGGTTTTAGGCAGCAGTCTGAGAGTCCTGGAGCAGTGTACCACACTGTTAATACCATTCTCCGTCTCTCTGTGAGCGTATATATTATGTTATATATAATGTTTAGTTTTGAGGAGGTCATTGTTGATCAAGTAATCAACTGAGTGGTACAGCGTCAGGTCGGGACCGTGTCACGTGATATTTCTAACCCACTTCATTGGTCTAGCGCAGTTTATGTAAAATATTCATTTATATGCAGGATTTTAAACTGTTTATGAATCCAAGGGTCGGGACGGTTGGACCAATCTATCTGAGATTGGATTTGCTTGAGAATGAACGGTAATGTCGGGACTATACATGACCTAACTCAGAAAGGCACGCAGCTTCAGTCTCATAATATGTGGTTCTGAGACACGGATTAAAATGTAATGTAAGATTAGGGGTCCCAGACTAAATCCAGCTGCTACATTTAGGGGGCGAGACTAAAGAAAGATACAATGTCCAGACTCCAGGGTCCTGGCATGAAGTTGGGTGGTAGGAACTGGTTCCTGGCTCAGCTTTACTCTATTCAAGGAGATAAGAATTGCTGAGCGGTGATTTTATCTGAAACCATAAAAATGAAACATATTTTCCAAAATATTCGCAGATAAATTTGGGGCATTTTCACAACACCTTTACTTTCTAATTATCTTGTCTTTGCAGTATTTCTAGATATTTAGTGTCATTTCAGCTCTTAGATTAGTTTAGACAAGATTGCACCATTGCACCCCTGATTAGTGGTTAGGATTGTTGTGTGACAATACCTGATAATTCCTGATAATGCCTGATAAGTCTCTCGTTATTACCTTATTATTGCTATCAGTTGCAGTAAATCTGGTAACGCTCCCAATTTGCTCCTACTCCTAGCTAGTCCAAACCTTCAGGACCTAACAGCTCAAACATACTGCAGTGTTTCCTGGAATGCGACTTATTCGTATTTCGTAGATCATGTTTTACTAGAATAAGAATTCTGCCAAACTGTCTACCCCGTAACTTTCAAGCGAGATTGTATCAAGGTTGCACGAAAAATTTAAGATTGGCCGACTTAATTTTCCCACTGATTAGATACCTCATTATGATTAGAGGATTAGCATCCCAACAAATCATCACTAGATTCAAGCCGGGAAGTTTATCCAAGTTAGTTTCAATCTTGAATAATCTTGCATGAGAGGAGAATGGCCCTTGTAGCTAGTCACTGAAACACATTTATAATTATCACCTGACAAACTAATGATCCGCTACCTTCCTCTCCTCCCTCTCTCCTCCACCATAGTTCCTAGTACGATTGTAGCGCTGCTATTTCTAGCTAATGCTAGTGTTCATTAACGGTAATTGGTCCACAACGCCGCTACATACAAATACAGTACACACTGACCGTTCTAACGGCCTCACTGTATACATTACCCCATTACTGTGCTATAAGCACCGCTAGACGCTCTATTAATCTCACCTCCAGCTAAACATAGCGCTTCAAAGCGCCCACGTGCAACAAGCTGAGCCGAGCGCACATTAATTTTTCATTAACTTCTAGAACCTGAAGAAACATCCAATAAATTGTTGTCATAAGTTTAGTACTTCAATAAAAGAATGACTGGATGAAGGAAGTATGTTAGGCATGAGAGGAATGTAGCTTTGCTGACTGATTATTTGTTTTAGCCTCCTCAAAGCAGATAAATGTAGCCAATTTAGGTAAGATCATTAACTTGCGGTATGCCGACCATATTTCCTCAACAAATTACTCTGAACATTCTCTAATTTTAGTTTGAAATCTCTGCGACAATGTTCGTGGTCCATGGTAAATGTGGTTACATCAATATGAGCGAATATATATGTCTTGCAAGGAACGATTAAGGAACGATTAAAAATATAATAATTTATTTATTACCTAATTACTTTATATTACAACGTTTAAGATGAACAAGGTTTAATATTAATACTAATAACCGTCCTATATTAATAATGGAATACAATTTGCAAAAATCAATAAATGAAATATAATAATTTAATATAAGCAAGCAGCAGAAGTTAAACCTAGCGAACAGTATTATATCAACTGTTTGTGAAGCAGAAATGGACCCCACTATTTACGCAACAATAAAGCACAGAAGCCAAACTCGGACTCAATTGCGGAACCAGAAAAACAGAATTCCGGAGATATGCACCTAACTTGAATGTATTTACTATTTAAGTATTTAAGTACAGAATTCCCAATTTAATTGCGCGACCATTTCATGTTCGGAACATTGTTTATTGAAATGGTCTGGTATTTAAAGTCTTACTGCACCTTGTTCATTTAAATGATGATATGATATGGTTAACATACAAAAGGGTCGAGGGGAAAGCGTCTTTAATCCGTCAGATCAGACAAACACAAAGTGTGTTATGGTGATCAATGTGCCACCCGGTACAAACTTAAACATTGCATCAGCTATGACTTCCAATCATGGAAATCATTTTATCCATTTTGTGTGGACAAATAGCGGAATGTTTCTTATGTAGGCTACAAAATTACAAATACTGCAGGTCACCCAATTTTGGAATTTGTCAAAATGTTACACTCCAATTCAAATTTCAAAGACAGGAGCTCAAAGACGCAATATTTTTAACATAACAATTTGTAACATATTACAACTAATTACAACACTACAAATCTATTACATTTATTGAAAATTATGTAATGTAACGTGATGGAAATATTTTAACGGGCATATCCTGTCCAAACCCAGGATGCACTACATGAAGAATTCGTTGTAACTTTGTTTGAAAAGCATTAATATTTGATCTTCTGTATTCCTTCAGCATATATTCGCTACTTAACATTCAACCAACAGTGTGGATTTGTTTAAATGTTTTGTAGCTCAGTATTCACTATTCATGACATTTCGTTTTCAGGTACCTAAGTTACAATCGACTGCGGAGTATGGAGGGTCTGCAGTATTATAACAACCTCAGAGCTTTGTGAGTACATACCCCTTATTTCACTTTCACTTTCACTTTTACTTTCAATTATGAATTCACTTATATAGTGTTCTTGATTATTCCTTTCTCTTTCTTTACACCCGTGCTCTGTCTCTCATAGTCTAAACCATCACAATCTCCATTTTAATGATATAATATTTCATCAGTCAACTAAAATATATCGAATCAAATACATCATATATTATGCATTTTATGATTCGTCACAATAGGGTATTATCTCGAGCACTCGGGTAGCTAAATTAGTCAACAATCACCTACTCACCCCAACCATCACCAGCAACCCTCCATTCTCTAACACAATCTCCCCAATACTGAGCTCCATATTGGAGAGTGTACAGAATGAGTAGTGTCATGCACTATGCAGCACCCTCACATACTACTGTTAGTGCCTCCCCCTAATCAGCCCCCAATACTACCTGGCCCTCTTTACTCAGCCCCCTCCTATAATAGCTGCTAGTAAAGCAGCCCTGTATCGTGTCAAAGCTGTCCCGTATCCCGTCATTAGACAATCAACAAACTTATCGTATTTCCTTATAATTGGAGGAGATAAGTGAGGGTCGGTACTTGTTGTAGTTTTATAACTGTATTATAAGAGTGACGTGGGAAGCACGCGTGAAGCACGTGGCAGGGCATGTGAAGCACGGGTCCTCAATTACTGAGGGTCAATTATTAGAGGACATGCAGAGCATGCTCTCTTATCCATACAATTCCTATTTATAAGTTAACAAGTTAAGCTTCAGACAATTGATGTGAGCGTTCAGGATCATCTTTTAGTCATCTCTCTGGAATTATTCAACCGCGACCATTCAATTCATTTTGCTTGGGTTATAATATATATAATGGTGATAAGATGTGATTGGCCCGATTGTTAAAAGGAGGGAACGTCATAACACGTGGTTATAACGGTAGTGAACGAGTATAATCGGTGTTTTAGAACTCCAGAGAAAGAGACAATAGTTACACAGAGATATAGCGAGGGATTTGTATATTCCAGGTTGGAATTTCTGAGGAGAAGGGGATTTATTGGTGCTGCATACTCTGGACATTACACAATCAGGATAACTAGAGATATTGCAATAGTACTGTATACATCAGGAGATAACTGGATATATTGTAATAGCTAGCTGCACTGTATAAATCAGGAGATGCAGGAGTGTCTTGAGAGAAATCCTGATTTCTTACGAGTTTAGGGCGTTCATATTTAGATTGAAATGCTGATTGTTAAATTCTAACGCTAAATAAAACTAAATTACTGACTAAAGTTGAGCTAATTTACAGACTAAATCAGATTCTTCCTCTTCAGGTATGTACTAAACTTAAATTTTTATTCAAAGTCAGTATGTTCTATCAAAGACTCCCGTACGGAATAACTTGATGAAAAGCAGGTTTAAGTAAGACTGCTAATCATCCTTTAAATGGAGGAGTATTTGTTGACAAGCTGCATATCTTCAAAGCAAGCACTTAAGGAACATAGCCTGGCACCCATACGGTGATAATCACCCTCAGATCTCGTTACGATTTGAAATGTACAGATATATAGCAGATATTATACACACATACTTGCTTAGCACATACACAATACTCCTTACAGGTACCCAGATCATCATTTACTTTTCCCTATCGCTGTACACATGCGCTACATCGCCTCCCATCTTGCAGCACCCACGTAATTAAGGAGTAGTAAGTACGGAGTTAGCTCCACTCTCCTGCTAAATAATTCATGAGCTGGGTGCTTTGGGAGCGCCTTGATGACTCCAGGGCCGTGATTACATAATAGAGATCATCTCAGTTATAATTGTACAATCTACAAACTACCCCAGACCTGGCACCGCCTTGTTACCTTTACCGACCACATGTCAAGTGATAAATAAGCTTCCCCAGATTCGCAGATGCTTCCTCTGAGAGCGTGACAGACAATGGGGGTATTTTAGGATGTCTGGTAAAAGAGTCCGGACAAAAGGAGGGGAGGAGAGTTTTCTACAAGCTGCTACTTTTATATCCGGGATCTATTGTCGTCAGTTGGTAGTAGCACTTGCAGAGAGGTGATGTTGCTGGCAAACTTGGGTAAGATGGCGGGAAAATGCACAGTTTTATCTAACAAGATTATCAGTCATGTTGATAATATTGCCCATTATAATTGGAGCCCTTCTAATCAGTGTAATCAGCCTGTGAAGCGTCGTACAATGGCAATTTAGGCTCTTATTGCGGACCTTTATGTATTATTCATTGAAACTGGCACAGTTAATCATTTATCAGGTATTCAGACCTGCGATGTTTGGCGAGTCACTCTAAATATGGTCCATATATTGACAGGGTCCAAGTGCAGAGTTCTGTAAGGAGGTCCTTAGGAAACAGTACTTAAATTTAGATTATATTCAGGTTTTTATCAAATGAGTATTATAGTTTGATATTTCTGTGGAATAAGCTTACATGCTTACATGTCAAGAGTCAAACTCAAATATTGGTTACACTGGAACACTGGAAAGAGGGAATTTCTGCTATATATTTTAATCGATCATTAAACGATAAGTGGAGACTAAACGATCGATCGAAGGCGCAGCTTTGAATAGTGTAACCTTTCAAATATTCATTATACGGGCCTAATTTGACAGCGGTTTGAAAATATTTTCTAAAGAAAGCCCATATTTTAACGTACCCCTGGCTATTAGGATACCTATGTACTGTGCAGGATATTAGATAGAAGGTAAGAATTTACATAGTAGGTGCAAATTCACACTGTCTCTTCTCGTACTATCAACCTTCAACATTGTAATTTCAATATTGTGAAATCTCGCCTTCCATTTGTAGGTAAATAATGAGAGAACATTCTAGACGTCCAGTAGTTGAACTGGTTGACAGCAGGATTTATCAGGATATTGCCTCCACCCTACCATTGTTTGGTCTCCTCTCCTCATCACCACGTCTGAAACGAACATGAAGAGGAAACTGAAACAATGACTGACACTTCACACTTAGTCAGTACACGCCCCAACTCTAGTGGTCTGAAGTAACCTGTCAGGATGATATCTCCTCATGTTTACACGATAGGATTCCCAGATATGAGATATCTGATACTATCTCAACATTCCAGCTCTCCGCTTGATTGGTCAAGTGTGTTATTTAAACTCAGGACTACACTTACGCGACCACATGCTTGTCAGAAGATATTTCTCAAGAAAACAAACAATAGCAGATTGTGATGCTATTCAAATATCTCCACCACTGGGAGAGTAGATATTGAAGTGGGTGTGCCGCTAAAAGGGAAGTAGCGGGGTTTGTATTGGTTTCTACTTTCTAACAGATTTAAGAATAGTTATAAAATAAGAAAGTAAGAATACTCTCAAGACTTATATTCTCTTCAAGGCTGCTGGATGTGGGATCTAGTTTACAGCCAAGCTTGACATTTGAGGCAAAATTCCTACTTGGTTTAGTATGAATTAATTTGTTTAATTTCACACTTTGACCCTAGCTCCAATGAGCAATGAGACACAATTCTTTTTTCTCCGCATTTAATTTGGCTAATTTGTCAGTGGTTCTATGCTCAACCTTCTCTGCTATACGGAAAACAGATATCTGCCGATGGTAAATTAACTAATTTAATTGATTTAGCAACTTTGCGATAAATCCATTAGTGATCGCTAGCTGTAATTATTGGTTTACCTTTGACGTAAGACTGTGGGATCTTCTGCAGATTCTGCAGATTTTCGGCATCTTAATAGAGGTGAAGAGGAGAATAATCGAGAAGAAGGAGGAGAAGGGGAGTTAACTCCATAATTAGCAGAACATAGTGATACTAACAGACTATGAGAGCATATATTAATTAGTCCAGGCAAATGGGCACAATGTCTGGGATCTAACTGGACAAGGGGATAGTATGTGGACCCTAATTTCTAGTCATCCCGTCTACAATATTCCTTTATCTCACAATATTCAACCACATAAACATGCCCTAATTATTCATATTAAGACATAATTAACTGCTCTGTATATTCAGCTTTGTCTAATTAGGTCTGTTAAGGTGGGTGGTGCCTGGCTCAGGCCATCTACCTAACAAAACATTCCCAGTAACTGTCACGTAAACATTTAATAGAGCTGTTCTTCTCAATTTTTCCTCACCTAAACGGACTAGCGCGAACTAATTGATTGGCTATCTCACCAGATAAGCAAGAATTGTCCTGAACCGATAGGAGTAATACCTGGACCTGCCGTACAAAGTGACCAATTACTTTATTAAACGGGGTCATTAACCTGATGTCATGAGCTTGACAAGGCACAACGCTAGGTTGCTTGGAGGGTGAGATGACCTGGTGGCTTTGTATTGGACAGACGTGGTATTTTAATGAGCAATGACTCATAGTCTTTATTAACAATCATTGACTGTTAAAGAGCTGTCCCACTAGCTCATTAGTGACCAAGTTTGGGTGATATCCGACAGCACAACTACCAACATTTTATTCAAAGCAAAAGAAGGAAGCACGTGGTGAACCGCAGTTAACTCCTTATAAAACTTTTTATCTTTAATAAAATATTCACGAGCATTTCACCACGTGCTTCCTTCAATTTAATTTACCGTGTTGAAATTTTATACAACAAATATGATAAACATAACAATTAATTTTGAAATATTATTGTTATGTTTATCATTTGATGTCTAAAATTTCAATACGGTTTATTGTTCTACTTAAAGTAAGAATATTTCAATAAGTTAGAAGACAATTTTTTTAAAAGCATATTTTCTACAAGAGAAACTCCATTCTCGTACGTAAGGAGAGTTAGGACTCATAGTATATTAACTAAAATTACAATTTGAATCATCATAAAGCTCAAATTATGGTTTATGATATAGTACATTCCCTACATTGGACTCTCTCCTAATAGTATTACTAGTAGTTACAGTACTGATTTTGAGAGTTTAAGAACAAAAGCACTATACTAAAAAGTACTATACTACTAGTACTATAACTACTACTAGTGTATAT